TAATTTTTCTCTGGGCTACCCGGCAAGCATAAAAGTGACCAATTGTTTTGACAACCACTTTATCATTTTTATCACAAGGGACAACAACTTCTGCACTTGACAAATTCTGGAACTCATTCATCATATTGCTTCATTTTCTAGTAATTATGCCAGCAACAAAGGATGGCACTCTGATATGAGCTTCAAGTTTCACCTCTTCTTTAGGACAAAAAATCTTTTCTTAATTTTTCCATAAACTCATCCCTAAGCCTTAAGCTGAATCTCTAGTGGCCCAGTAACAATCATCATCCTCACTTTACCATCTGGTGCTGGAGCAATCTTAATAGAAGTTCCTACAAAGCAAGAAAGCTAGTTTGATATGCTGCCCCTGCTTGCTGATAAAGGTGTCAACAAATAAGGGCTAGAATTAACAAATGAATAGTTTTCATTTCTGAATACTCAAACTGTTGGTAAGGAGGAGTCATAGCTGAAGGGGGCCCTGAGGTAGGAAGTGACTTCGCTGAAGTGGGTAGGAACAGACCCAAAGCATCAAGATGTAGTCCAGGAATTAAATGTGCTTGAAGATTCATAGAAGCAATATTGTTTTTATTAGGCTCCATGATTTTCTCAATCTCTTCCTCAGCTTTGTCACATTGCCTTTAACTGTATTGGTGCACTCCAGATGGTACAGCATGAATTATTGCATTGGAAATATCGTGTTTATATTGGCTGGGCATACTCCATCCAGATCCTCCACCTTCCAGTAGGCAGGGATCACACCCAGCAACTGGCCCCCTGGCGCCGTGTGATCCCATCAATGGCCAAGACCCAGAGACTATAAAACCCAGCTCCCGGAAGTGCAATGCGGCCGCGCGACATCTTATTATCTCATTCTTACTTTGGACAAACTGGCAGGCTACCGAATGTAACCTGCCCACACAGCAGAGTCTGGCAAACTCCCCGTGGCGTACCCAATATGCCAAATACCAGTAACAATGATGGGTCTCATTCTCCTAAGCCTGAAAGAGCCTTGAATATGGCACTTTTAAAAAAATCTCAGGGCTAGGATGAAGGAGACGTTACTGGGGCCTGCACGAGGCAATCGATGAACAACAGGATGATCGTGATCATGATTGTCTATGCCTTTCTCAATTTTCTTTACTTTTTGGGCCACACCTGGCAGTGCTTAGGGGTTACTCATAGCTCTGCACTAAGGAATTACTCCTGGCTGTGTATTGGGAACCATTTGGATGCCAGGGATCAAACCTGGGTTGGCCACGTGCAAGGCAAGCACCCTACTGTCTGTACTATTGCTCCAGCCCATTTTGCTCATTTTTTAAAAGATTTCTTCCTTCTTCACCAATAAGATAACCTACAATGAGTATATACTTTGGATATTAGTCCTTTATCTGAGGTATTGTGTACAATTATCTTCTCCCATTTGGTTGGGTATCTTTTTTGTTATTTTTGGGTTACACCTTGTGGTGCTCAGTGTTTCCTTCTGGGTCTGCTTTATTTAGGCTACCTGGTTAGGTGGACTGAAGGCTATATTCAGTAATGGACAGGATTTACTTTACTTGCCCAGATGGAGCATAAGAGCAAGCTCTTACGCTTGCGATCTTAACTCAAGCCAATTCACACGTTTAAATTCCCTTGCTAAAGAGGGCACTGAATTTGCTTTGCAGATGATCAGATCTGCCTGTCATAATCTCTCTGCTTAAATATTGTTGGGTAGTAACAGTTTCTGGGTGTTCTGGCTATCTGGTGAGATGGGGCTAGGAGCTACACTCACTCATGTGTTAGGCTATGTCTCAGTTGTCATCACTGGGTGGGGACGGACCAGGTTGCAGGAATAGCAATGTTCTTTTAAGACCGAGGTACATAGCATTTGTACCATACCAAGTTCCCTGATCAGACTGTGCTACAGATTTGGCATTGCAAATAAGCAAAGTTTGGAATTGCTGCTTGAGTACTGTATCACTGTATCACTGTCATCCTGTTCATCGATTTCCTCGAGCAAGCACCAGTAATGTCTCCTTCGTCCTAATCCTGAGATTTTAGAAAGTGCCACATTCGAGGCTCTTTCAGTGTCAGGAGAATGAGACCCATCATTTTTACTGTTTTTTTTTGCATATTAAATATGCCACGGGGAGTTTGCCAGACTTTGCCTTGTGGGCAGGATACTTTTGCTAGACTACCAGGTTCCACGTGCTTCTGGGAGCTGGGTTTTATAGTCTCTGGGTCTTGGCCATTGATGGGATTACACGGCACGGGGGCATTTGGTGGGTGTAATGCCTACACACTGGAAGATGGGGGATCTGGGTGGAGGAGGCCCAGTCCCAATCCGAGCAGGCTTGGAGACCTGCACCCTGGGTCCCGCACACCTGGGTTCCTCTGCCGGTTTCTTCATGCGTTAGGCTCGTCTAAACATGTGGAGAGTGGTCGTAAGCATGGCTGTGGCTGGAACCGGAGGTCTTCAGCTGCCGGGGCTCTGCTCGGGGTGGGGAGGGAATCTCAACCCACCCTCCTCCAAGGGGCCCCAGTGAGGATAGTCAGGTGCAGAGGCAGGAGACTCTGTGCTGTTCTCTTTCGGGAGCTCAGTTTTATAGTCTCTGGGTCTTGGCCATTGATTACCACAGAGTCTCCTGCCTCCGTGCCTGGCTGTCTTCACCAGGGCTCCTTGGAGGAGGGTGGGTTGAGTTTCCCTCTCCGCCCCGAGCAGGGCCCTAGCAGCCCCTCGGAGGAGGAGCAGAGGAACCTAGGTGTGCAGGACCCAGGGCATATATCTCCAAACCTGCTCGGATTGTGACTCAGCCTCCTCCACCCAGATCCCCCATCTTCCAGTATGTAGGCATTACACCCACCAACCAATTGCCACCCCCCTGCCCCCGCGCCGTGTAATCCCATCAAATTGAGTACTCTAGATAGAAAATAAGTCTACCAAGATCTAAGACCTGGTTGGTGCAAACTCTACTCCGTCATTCTAGATCACAATTAAAATTCTTGTGGTCACGGTCCACAAATTCCTCTATAGGAATTCCACGATTCACTTTTAATTTCTATATGGTAAAACTGGAATGGAGGCTCCCAGGAAATTACCCACAATACTGGAGATGCTGGATAGTTACCCCCTGAGCTTTCTTCCCATTAGAGAAACTGTAGACTTAGGGGAGACTGATTGTGGTTCTGTGCTCATCTTGTGTCAGGAGCTTTGTAGTCAGCATCATGTAGCTGCTCTCGTTACTTTTCAGATGCAGCCTCTGGTGCAGAGAATGCTTCGGCCCTTCCCCATATATGATTTACTCTGAGTTCTCTTGATCATGAGAGGTTCTTACTACTTCTTAGGGGAAAGGAAACTATGGGAAAACCTATGTTACCATCTCAGGCCATTCTGAGTCTTTTTTTATTTCATTTTTTATAATTTTAATTATTGAATCACCGTGAGGGCAGTTACAAAGCTTTCGGGTTTAAGTCTCGGTCATACAATGAAACACCCGTACCTTCACTAGTGCTCATTCTCCACCACCAAAACCCCCAGTATACTCCCATCTCAAACCCTCCCCCTACCTGTGGGGCAGATGGGATTTCCACATTACTCTCTCTCTACTTTGATTACATTCAATATTTTTACACCAGACTCACCGTTATTATTTGGGATTTTACCCCAATACTTAGTTCTGCTGAAAAGCCAACTGCAGTTGTTTTCTATTGCTGGTTAAGAATAACATATGATGTTGTGTGGCTGCAGTAGTGCTCACACAATTTTGAAATTTCGAAATTTTAACAATGAAATCTGGAGGGATTTCTGCCAAAACCTGCTGGGTTCCGAGATTTGTTCCTGAGTCTCTTGGATCATGGCCGTTCAGCAGCTTGATCAGGAGCCAGAAAGGCCATTAGTGGGCGGCAATTCAGGTCTCATTGGGGTGGGAAGGAAAGGGCCAGCTCCACCCCCATCCCGTGAGGCCCCACGTGTCTCATCACTGAGGGCCCAAACCTGACTGTCCAATGGCCTCTGGAGAATTATGGCTACCGAGCCTTCTAGGGGGAGCCAGCGGAGGGACAGCACCTTTTCCCCCCTGGAATGGCCCGGTGACAGTAACCTATTGTGGGCTCGGACGAATTTCTGTCAAAGGCCACTGGGTTCCGAGATTTGTTTCTGAGTCTCTGGATCATGGCCGTTTTAAGCAGCTTGATCAGGAGCCAGAGAGGCTGTTTGTGCGCGGTGACTCGGGGTCTCATTGGGGTGGAGAGAAAAGGGCCGGCTCCACACCCATCCTGTGAGGCCCTGTGTGTCTCGTCACTGCGGGCCCAAACCTCATTGTCCAGTAGGCCATTCTGAGTCTTAATGAAACTTTGTTTGTACTTATTTTGGATTTTGAGGCCATCCCTAGCTCTGTGCTGAATGTGTGCTCAGGGATCACTTCCTGGTAGTGCTCAGGATACCATCTGTGGTGCTAGGGATTTAAACCTGAGATAGCTGCATGCATAGCAAGTGCATCACCTTCTGTACTATGTCTTTGTCCCATATATGTACATTTTTAACTCATAATTATAACTGTGGTTCAATAGAACTTCATTTTGGTTGTTTGATAATCTGTTCAATATGGTAACCTCTAGCCACATGTGACTATTGAGCTCTTAAAATGTACTTGGTGTGTTGGAGAAACTGCATTTAAATTTTCACAGTGGATAGGGCATTTGCCTTGCATGCGGCCGACCTGGCCGACCCGAGCTCAATTCCTCCGCCCCTCTTGGAGAGCCTGGCAAGCTACCGAGAGTATCTCGCACAGCAAATCCTGGCAAGCTACCCGTGACTTATTCGATATGTCAAACACAGTAACAACAAAGTATCACAATGGAGATGTTACTGGGCCCATCAAGCAAATTGATGAACAATGGGAGGACAGTGCTACAGTGCTACAGTGATACTTTAAATGTAAATAGTTATATGTTCTGGACAACACACTTCTAGGCCTTGTGAGAAAATTTCCATAAACTTTTGTTGGTTTTCTCTTTTCTAGCTGTGTTGGTGTTGAAGAAGAGAAAGCTGCTGACATTGATCTCTACCACTGCCCTAACTGTGAGGTCCTACATGGCCCCTCCATTAGTAAGTAGAGATTTGAGTTTTTAAAGGAAGGTGGTCAAGAGAAATGACAGACAAAGGAATCGTGGACAGGAAATTGCCTTTTGTCTGAGTGCTTCAGATTTATCTTTCTTGGTAGACAGAAAAATCAGTGCAGACTCCTTAGTCTAACAGCTGAATCATTGCAAGGGCAGAATTGCATATCTTAACCCCTCCTTTCCTAGGATTTTCACAGAAAAAGTGCTAATACCTGTTAGAAACTTTCCTGGAACAGCAAGGGCCTCATTAATTCTAGATGCTCTAAAAGGTTGTTAGATTGGATCAAAAGTAAGACTTGCTGAGGTTTTTGCTCTGTGACCCATTCATTGCTCATTGCTGTTCTGATTCATAATCTTTTTCCCCCCTCTCCCCGGCTCAGTGAAAAAACGCCGTGTCTCTTCAAAAGGGCATGATGCACACAGGGGGAAAGTAGTGAAGACTGGGAGCACTACATTCATTCGAGAACTCCGAAGTAGGAATTTTGACAGGTGAGGACGCTTACCCTTAAGGCATGTGAATACCATGGCCTATGGAAGCACACATCCGCGAGTGTCAGCCGGAAAACTCTTAGTTCTGTTCCCGGGGAGAAACTTTTCTGAGAAATGTTGATAGTTTCATTTGATATACAGAGTACATTAAAGACTACTTGTAGTAAAAACTTTTGGTTGATTGGCAGTGGGAAACTGTTACATGGGCCCTCCATTAATAAGTAACGGTTATTTTTATGCATCCAGGAAATATTAGAACCAGGATTCTTAAAGATAAGTTTAATTTTCTCATAGAAAAAATTTGATTGTTCATGTTTAGCAATCAAAATTTTTAAAAATTTAAATTAAAAAATTTACTTAAATTAGAAATAACTTTTGTAATGAATTTACTAGAAATGAAGTTTTAAATTTATTTGGTCCATTTTAATTTTCCTGTGATTGAAATGTTATTTAAAATTATGTTTCTTCAGTGTAGCATTTTAATTTTGTTTATTTAAAAGCAGTGAGTCTCCTTTCTAGCTTAGACTCCTTAAATCCCTTCTCCAAAGTCAACTAATTTCTTCCTATTCTTTTTGGTTTTTGGGCAACACCTGGCTGTGCTCAGGGTATACTCCTGGCTCTGCACTCAGGGATTACTCCTGTTGGTGCTCAGGGGACCATATGTGGTGCCAGGGTGGAACTTGGGTTGGCTACATGTAAGGCAAGCATCCCACCCACAGTACTCTCCCTCGTCCAAAGTCAACTAATTTCTTGATAATTTTTCAGAAATAGTTTGTTTTTGAGGGTGTTAGGGGTTGGGCCACACCTGGACATTCTCTGGAGTTACTCCTGGGTCAGTGCTCAGGCGTCACTACTAGTGTTCAGCGAATAAATAGCCTCATGTAAGAGAAGTTTGTTAACCCCTGTACAATCTCTCTGTCCCCAGAAAGAGTTTTTTTTAAACATATAATCATGTGTGCATTGTATGAGTGTTCATCTTTTAAATTTGTCATCATTATTATTATTTTTTTCTTGAGGTTCTTCACAAGTTATGCTCAGAGGGCCTAGGGGCCACTCCTGGTGACACTTCGCTGTGCTATATATTTGCAAAAAACACTAAAATACTATATTGTTATGTCTTTTTTTTTTTTTTGCTTTTTTGGTCACACCTGGCAATGCACAGGGGTTACTCCTGGCTTTGCACTCAGGAATTACTCCAGGCGGTGCTCAGGAGACCATATGGGATGCTGGGAATCAAACCCAAGTTGGCCATGTGCAAGGCAAATGCCCTACCCGCTGTGCTATCCCCCAGCCCCTATATTGTTCTGTCTTACGTAAAAATATTTTTGTTCTTGTTTTCACCCAGTGGTACTCAGTGCTTGCTCTTATTCTATGCTCAGGGATAACTCCTGGCAGTGGTGCTGAAGTTGGAACTGGGGTTGGCCTCTAGCAAGGCCTTAACCTCTCTTTGGTTCCTGTTTTGCTTTTCCCTTCCTTCCCATTATTTTGTCTTTTAAAACCCAAATCTGTAACACTACATTCAGATTATCTTCATTCTTTTTCATGGCCGATTAGTGTTTCACTATATGAATATACAATTTATTTAATTGGTTCTCTCTTTAAGGTGGCTCTACTTTGCTATTAGAAAAAAAGTGCTGCAATGAACATTTTCTAAGTTTTTTGTTTGTTTCTTTGGGGTTTTTGGTTTTTGTTTGGGGGCTACACTGGGTGGCACTCAGGGCTTGCTCCTTACTCAGGGATCAATTCTGTTGGTCAGGGTACCATATATAATGCTGGGGACTGAACCCAGGCTGGCTGTGTTCAAGGCATACACCTTAACCTCTGTACTATCTATCTGGCACTATACTTTCAGTTTTTATTTATGGGGGTAAGTTTATATGTAGATTTACTCACTAAAAGAGAAACCGCTAGTCAGAAAGTATGTACTTAAAGCACATTCTTCTGAAACATTTGAAAAGTATTTATAAATATTGCCAATATTTTTCCAGGGGCCAGAGAACTGATACAGGGGTTAAAGATACTTGCTTCCTATGTTTAATCCCTGTGAATACATGTGGTCCAGTGAGCACAGAACTATGACTAGCTACTGAGTATTGCCCCAAACCCCAGAACTAACACGGCACACAACAAAACAAATTATTTTCAAAGTGGCCATACCTTTTAATACTTCCATTAGACAATATGTGAGGTGCTAAATATACCCTACTATCAAAATTATTTTGACATTTTTGATAAGACAAAAAATGGAATACTGGGGCTGGAGCAATAGCACAGTGGGTAGGGTATTTGCCTTGCACGCGGCCGACCCAGGTTCTATTCCCAGCATCCCATATGGTTTCCTGAGCACCACTGGGGGTAAGTCCTGAGTGCAGAGGCAGGAATAACTGTGCATCGCCAGTTGTGACCCAAAAAGCGCTAAAAAATGGAATACTGTTTCCACATATATTTCTTTTGTTATATATATTAAACATCTTAAAGTCATCTTTATATCTTTTTATGTTAACTGCTTATTATTGTTTCACAAATTTTCTTTTGAATTTATGGTTTGAGCCTCACCCAACAGAGCTTAGGGGATAGTCCTGACGTGGTGCTCAGGAATGGCTTCTAGCAGTGCTCAGGGTCCAGGTAGTGTTGGGAATAAAATCTTCAAATCTTCATGTGAAGCATACCCTCCATAAATGCTTTTTGTTTTTTGGATCATACCCGGCGATGCACAGGGGTTACTCCCGGCTCTGCACTCAGGAATTACTCCTGGCGGTGCTCAGAGGACCAAAATGGTTGCTGGGAATCGAACCTGGTCCGGCTGTGTGCAAGGCAAACGCCCTACCCGCTGTGTTATCGCTCCAGCCCCTCCATAGATGCTTTGATCTCCTTGATCCTTTGATAATTTTCCTATTGGATTACTATTTCTTTCTGTTTTATAATAGCTTTTCATGCAGAAATTTTTGTATTTTATAGCTAAATTACCATTTTAAATAACAACCAGGCCTTGTCTGTCTAATGCTGTGTCTACTGCTCTGTGACTTTATTTTTTCTAGTTTAATATTTGAGATGTCTATAATTATGTAGAGTGAGACTGACATTGAGTTCATTTTTTCCCAGATGTTTGTCCCAACATAACTTGTCATAGCTGTTTTGTGGCATGATTTGAAAAATCATGTGGATCACTGTGAGGAACACAATGTTCCCACACTCATCCCTTCACCAGTGTATATCTCCCACCACTTAGCATGACTTTTTTTTTGCTTTTTGGGTCAAACCCAGTGATGCACAGGGGTTACTCCTGGCTTTACACTCAAGAATTACCTCTGGTAGTGCTCAGGGGACCATATGGGATGCTGGGAATCAAACCCGGGTCGGTTGCATGCAAGGCAAACGCCCTACCCACTGTACTATCGCCCCAGCCCCTTAGCATGATTTTTTAAGGTAATTAATTTTGATTTTTGCAATACTGAGGCTTGAACACAAAGCATATACTTACCATTGAGCTAAATCCCAGCTCTCCAGCATGGTTTATTTTAACTTGTTTTTTAGGTAACTGAGTATGCATAACAAGTAAGTGGTTCCAATTTTTTAATTTTTTTGTCCTTTGGCTTTTTGGGTCATACCCAGTGATGCTCAGGGGTTACTCCTCTATACTCAGGGATCATTCCTGGCAAGGTTTGGGGGATCAAATAGGGTACCAGAGATCGAACGGGTCAGCCGCATTTAAGGCAAGTGCCTTACCCAATTACTATCTCTCCTGCCCCTAAACTTTTGTCTTTAGTTGCCAAAGTTTTAAATAGAATAATACTGATCTTGGTTACAGTCAATCAGATAAACTTGTTAGATATATCTTTTCTTCTTGGACAAGCTATTGATTACTTTCTTCCTTTATCATTCAGAAAGGAACACCAATTAACAGTCTTAGCTGCTAGGTTTAGTTCTTTACTTCTGCCGGTGATCTGGTCCTTGCGCTTGGAAAGGCCATTTCTTCCCTGGCAATTGTGGTTTATGCCATTAATTGTTAACCATATTAAGTTCCTTCTGGAAGACCCCACCCCTTTGGGTAAGTGTCTGCATCCAGTGAGACCTTCAGTGGACAGGACTTTGAGGCTCAGGCTTTGTCTCATGTGGCCCACAGCTCAGATGAAGTGATTTTGAAGCCCACTGGAAGTCAACTGACTGTGGAATTTCTTGAAGAAAATAGCTTCAGTGTGCCTATCTTAGTTTTGAAGAAGGATGGGTTGGGCATGACACTGCCTTCACCATCATTTACTGTGAGGGATGTGGAACACTATGTTGGTAAGTACCACTAAATCTTAATTGTGACATTGTTTATTCCTTTGAGACCTGTGATTCTTCCTCTCCAATCTACTTTTCCATTTTCTGTCTTGTCTCTTGTGAATCTGAGGTCACTCTTTGGCAAAATTAGAATCAAAATCCTGGTCTTCTCTTCCTTTTCCTTCTAAGAGACCACAAAACCTCAGACTGAGCCCTATTTTTTTGTTTTGTTTTTTGGGCCACATCTGGCAGTACTCAGGAGTTGCTCCTGGCTCTGCACTTAGGAGTTACTCCTGATGGTGCTCAGGGGATCATATGGGATTCCGGGAATCAAACCCTGGTTGACTATGTGCAAGACAAGCCTTCTACCTGCTGTACTATTGCTCCAGCCCTAGGCCCAATTTTTTTTTACCTGGGAAAAAATTCACCTAGATTGTGCTATAAATCCAGCTGAGAAACCTGGGTTGGGCACATTGGTCTGAGGTGATTGTGAGGAATTCCTACTCCCAGCTCCCAAACATGCACATACAAATACAGTGTCTGAGGACAGAAAATTTGAATGTTAAGTCCTTTGTAGGTACTGGTGAGTCTTTCTCTGTTTCCGAGACTTCCTGATACAGAACCTGTCTATCCTTTTACTTTAGGCTCTGACAAAGAAATTGATGTGATTGATGTGACCCGTCAGGCTGACTGTAAGATGAAGCTCGGTGATTTTGTGAAATACTATTACAGTGGAAAGAGGGAAAAAATTCTCAATGTCATTAGTTTGGAATTCTCTGATACCAGGTAGGAGGGTCTGCAGTAACTAAAAAGCATGATATATCTTTTTCTTTAATTTGGAGTAGCATTATGTAAGTTTCAAGTGTGTATCATTGAAAATTAAAATGTGATTATACTACATTAAGTTCACCACTAAAAGTACAATTCTGATCTTCACCATAGTATATTCTGTTTGTCCTAATTTTAACTAATTTCCTTTCGCCTTTCCTTCTAGTAACCACTTATAGTATAAAAATTTATTTCTGCTTTAGTTTACCTAGTTGATATTTCTATATTCCGCATGAGTGAAATCATTGTCTTCTTACTGACTTTGTTGTTTTTCTCTCTGACTTAACTTCACGAAGTATAATACTCTCTATATCGACCCATGGGCTGGAGCGATAGCACAGCGGTAGGGTGTTCACCTTACAAGCGGCCAACATGGCCGGCCCGAGTTCGATTCCTCCGCCCCTCTCGGAGAGCCCGGCAAGCTACCGAGAGTATTCGATATGCCAAACACAGTAACAACAAAGTCTCCAATGGAGACGTTACTGGGCCCGCTCGAGCAAATCGACGATCAACGGGAGGGCCTTTACCTTTACCTTATATCGATCCATGTCTCTGCAAATAGCAGGTTTTCCATCTTTTTTCATTATATATGTATATATATATATCACTATATAACTGTATCACTGTCATCCCGTTATTCATCAATTTGCTCGAGCGGGTGCCAATAATGTCTCCATTTGTCCCAGCCCTGAGATTTTAGTAGCCTCTCCTTACTCGTCCTTCCCAATGGTTCCTTATTGGAGGCTCTTTCAGGGTCAGGGAAATGAGACCCTTTATTGTTACTGTTTTTGGCATTTTGGATATGCCACGGGGAGCTTGCCAGGTTCTGCCATGCAGACGAGATACTCTCGATAGCTTGCCAGGTGCTCCGAGAGGGATGAAGAATATATTTTTAGGTATGCCAGTGGGCTAGACTATAAGAGATCTCACGGCTGCAAATGCAGCCACGTACTTCTGAGATCTTTGTTTTATAGTCTGGATCTTGGCCATTGATTGGATTACATGGCTCTGGGGGCAGTTTGTGGGTGTGGCTGCCAAGCTACTGGAAAATGGGGGATCTGGGTGGAGGAGGCCCAGTCCTAATCCAAGCAGGCTTGGAGATCTCAGCCCCGGGTCCCACATACCTGGGTTCTTCTGCCAGTTCCTTCATGTGTGCGGCTAGTCTGAGCATGTGGAGAGTGGCCTTGAGCATGGCTGTGGCTGGGTTCTGGAGGTTTTCGGCTGCCAGGGTTCTGCTTGGGGCGGGGAGGGAAACTCAACCCACCTCCCTCCAAGGGGCCCCAGTGAAGACAGCCTGGCGCGGCGGCACTCTCCACATGCTCGGATGAGCCTCACACATGAAGAAACCAGCAGAAGAACCCAGGTATGCGGAACCCGGGGCTGAGATCTCCAAGACTGCTCAGATCGGGACTGGGCCTCCTCCACCCAGATCCCCCATTTTCCAATAGCTTGGCAGTCACACTCACAAACAGCCCCCGCCATGCAATCCCATCAATGGCCAAGATCCAGAGACTATATACTTACACACACACACACACACACACATACACACACACACACACACACACACACACACACTTTCCATAACCTCATTTTGGGAATTGAATTTGTCAAAGTAAAAGGGTGTGTTTTCATTGGACATTATCTTATTTCTTTATGAGCACATATGAATAAGACAATTTAAGATTTCTTTTGCTCTTTCTGACATTTCACTGTTTATTCTACCTTGTCTTGATATTATTTCATCATGCACTGTTAAACAGAGGATGTTCAAAACTATTGTTTATATATACTCATTTCATCTTGAGAGACTTTTGTGGGGGGTTTTGGGCTGCATCTGGTGGAGCTCAGGGGTAAGTCCTAAATCTCAGCTCAGAAATTACTCCAGGGGCTCTGGGGACTGGGATGTTGGAGTTCAAGCCTAGGTTGGCCACATGCAAAGCAAGTACCCTGCTCGCCATACTAGTTTTCTGGGCCCTTGAAAGACTACTTGAAATAGTTTATAAAAGATGCAGAGAAAAATGAGAAAATTGGAATTTTTATGGAAAAACAAAGGTGAGAAAATAGGATATGTTTGATTTACAAGTTTTTATAGGACATATATGGAATATCTCTGCACACAAAATGCATGTATAGTCATTCATGTGCAGATACATGGTAGAAAAGAACTTCACTGAATTATCTGAAGGTCAGGACAGAGTGTAATGCACTATGTTTATAGTTTTATATACTGTAAAAAGAACCAGATATATTTTGAAGAAACACTTCTTCACCTAGAATTGAACTCTGATAAGTTTCTCTGAAGGTTCCTCATAAGAAAGACACTGATGTGGAGAGAGTACATACATAATAATAAATCAGTATTGTGGGAATGGGGAACCTAAGCAATTATGGGTGGAAATAATCACCTTCAAGTGGAGGAGACTGTGGAGTTAGAACCTGGGACTTCTGGAGATGAGAAGAATGAGGATGCTGACTAGACTTAGAAATAAACTCTATGTGACTTTGGGGATTCTGTGGGCATAAGTTATTCTTTGTCTTATCTGACTCTCACTGAGATGGGGGAGCACATTTTATTCATGTTTCAGCTTTCAAGTTCCAATTAACTGATACCTGCTCTATGCTACTTTCTTCCTAGGCTTTCTAATCTTGTGGAGACACCCAAGATTGTTCGGAAGCTTTCATGGGTGGAGAACTTGTGGCCAGAGGACTGTGTCTTTGAGAGGCCCAATGTACAGAAGTACTGTCTCATGAGTGTGCGAGATAGCTATACGGACTTTCACATTGACTTTGGTGGCACTTCTGTGTGGTACCATGTGCTCAAGGTGAGAATAGAGACTGCCAGAAATTGAGACTTCCTATTTGTCACAGCACAAAATAGGTGACTGAAGCCTTTCTCCCAAATTGGGTGACATTCTGTATATGTACTCTTTGCTGGGTATGCCATGTAATGTGTCTCTACAATTTTCATGCTTAACATTTTAAAAAGTAGTAACAACAGATACCTAAAGTTTTACCTTGCTGTCATCTTTTTAATTGAATCAACCTATACTCATATGCCCATATTTACTGCAGAAATGCCTGGTAACATTACTTTCCCTTACCCCAGCTTTATTAAAGTATCATTGCTAGAATATAAAATCTATTTTGAATGTATAGTTTTATGAGTCATATAGCTACCACATCAGTATAGAGCATATATATGAGAAGTGTTTTGCTTTTGGGCCACATCTGACTGTGCCCAGGGCTTATTCCTGGCTCTGTGCTCAGGGATCATTCCTGGCAATATTCATGAGACCATATGTGGTGCCAGTGATAGAAATCTGGTTAGCCACATGCAAGGTGAAGTTCCTTAACTGCTGTACTATTTGGCCCCATTTGGAGGATTTTTGATGATTGGAAAATTTTTCTTAAGTAATTTTGAGATCCATCACTGTTCATACTACTTGGTTATTAGAAATTCTAAGGAAAGAGCAAGAAAGTCTGGATGTGGCTTTTTCCCAAATGCTCATAAATCCTGAACTAGTTGTTTCTGTTGGTTTATCATGAAGTATATTTAAACGAAAGTGCTGTTATGCGAATTTTATTTTATTTTGTTTTGGGGCCATACCTGGAGATGCACGGGGGTTACTCATCGCTCTGCACTCAGGAATTACTCCTGGTGTTGCTCAGGGGACCCATATGGGGTGCCGGTGATTGAATCTAGGTTGCTTGCATGCAAGACAAGTGTCCTACCTTCTTTGCTATTTCTCCAACCCTGTTATCATGCAAATTTTAGACTTTAATTTTTAATTTATACTTTGGGGAGTTTCTAAGACTGATGAGGTTACCAGAGCTACGCATGAGATGCTTGGGAAGCCACGTAATGCTTGTGGTTGAATGTAGGGCCATGAGCAAGCCAGGCATGTACTCTAGTCCTTTGCGCAATGTTCCCGGCTCTTGTTTTAAATAACTTTTTGCATAGAAAAATTGCACAAATAATACAATTTTTGTGTGTTCTTCACATAGATTCCTAAATGTTACATTTTATTACATTTCCTTGTTCCTAAAGCAAATATCATAGAATGCTTTTACATATTTTTTTCTGAAATATTTGAATAGTTGCAGACTTTGCATTAAGTGTCCCTTTAGATTATATATTTTTGGTAAATAGTATATGTGTTATACATAGATAGGTTTATTTCTATATAGTTTTTTAAAAAATGCATTATTCACATGCTTTCCAAATAACCCTTTCCCCGCTTATACTGCACAAAAACGGAGTATAAGTCTTTCCAGTATTGCCTCAGACTTTCCAATGCAGCCAGGGCCAAGAAAGAACCCTATCTCAATATCTTTTTGTTTGTTTGTTTTGGGGCCACACCCTATAGTATTCAGGACATACTCCTGGCTCTATGCTCAGGGTTCACTCCTGGCAGTGCTCAGGGGACCTTATGGAGTGGTGGAGATTGAATCTAGGTTGGCCATGTGTGACTAAGTGCCAGACCACCACAAGGCAAACACTGTATCCTTCCCTTTGTCTTAAGCACCTAAAGAAATAACTTCCCTTCTTAGGTTCTGGGGGTTATTCATGCAGCATCATTCTTAGGACCAAAAGGGAATGGAGAGGAGAGGAAAACAACTATATACTGTGACATGGTTTTCAGATGAAAGTATCTAATGATTCCTAGGATAACTTCCAGAATATTTAGCGTGGGAATAAACAGGGTTATGTCCTGTTTGACTCTTCACATGCTTTCCAAATAACCTACGGTTTGAGAGTAGTTTGGAGATTAGGCTTGCAGAAATAGGGATAGCTAGGAGAAGATTATGCTGGCAATACAGCATTTCTACCTACTCACTGATATGTTAAATGGGGATAGGCATGGTTCTTAAAAAAACAGGGAAATAGCAGAGTGGGAAATGGGAATAATTAAGAAAATCACCTAAACAGAAGTACCAACAAAAACAATTTGTATTCACCACTTATGCTGAAAAGGTGTAATCTCCTGGATATCACTACCAAGCATCTCTCTTTCTCTCTTCCAGCTTTCAGTGGGGTGATATCTATTGTTTTCCCTTGCTATGATTTTTAGATTATTTAAGTAAACTGTGAAAATTAAATGTCGTTCCCAATGTTCTCCCTTCCGAAATCCAACATGCCATCTCGTCGGTAAAGAAACAAAGAGCACCTGGCCCAGACAAGATCAGACCTGAACACCTGAAAAACTTACCATCAGTACTCATCAATACATTGGCTCGACTCTTCACACGCTATCTGTCTGAATGCAAGGTTCCATCCCAATGGAAAACCAGCAGGACTGTACTACTATACAAGAAAGGAGACATCCACGACATTGGCAACTATCGCCCAATCTGCCTATTGTCTGTCATCTACAAACTATTCACTCGAGTCATCCTGAATAGGATTAGCAGAACACTAGATGAAGGACAACCATGTGAACAAGCTGGATTCCGAAAAGGATTCAGTACCATTGACCATATCCACACAATAACCAAGCTCATTGAGGTATCTCGGGAGTTCAAGATGCCGCTCTGTCTAATGTTCATTGATTTAAAGAAGGCCTTTGATTCTGTTGAGACGGAAGCGGTCATGGAAGCCCTAGCCAATCAGGGCGTACAAACTCAATACATCAGGATCCTTCGTGAGCTCTATTGCGGATTCACTACCAAGATCTCACCATTCTACAAAGAAGTAATCATCCATATCAAGAGAGGGGTTCGGCAGGGTGATACCATTTCACCAAAACTCTTCAGTGCCACCCTCGAGAACATCATGCGACGACTGGAATGGGAAAACATGGGAGTGAAGATAGATGGTCGGCAACTACACCACCTCCGCTTTGCTGATGACATCGTTCTAATAACACCAAACATCAGCCAAGCGACACAAATGCTGAACGACTTTGACCGTGAATGTGGAAAGGTCGGACTACAGCTGAATCTTACGAAGACAATGTTTATGAGAAACAGCCTTGTTCCTGACGCTCCATTCGCTCTCAACGGAACCACCATCTCCGAATGCAACAGCTATATATACGTAGGTCGAGAAATCAACATGATGAATGACCTGGCACCTGAGTTGGGCAGGAGGAAGAGAGCGGCTTGGAATGCCTTCAAGAGCATTGAAGAAATAACTAAAAGGACAAAGAACCTCCAGCTACGAGCACATCTCTTTGATTCCACTATTCTTCCTGCATTAACATATGCCTCAGAGACCTGGACCCTATGAAAACAGGATGAGAACGCTATTCGGGTCTCTCAAAGAGGAATGGAAAGAACTATGCTTGGAATATCACGATTCACTCAAATGAGAGATAGAATCTGGAGTTCTGATCTTCGTCAACGCTCAAGAATCAGGGACGCTGTCTCATTTGCCAAGACATCAAAAATCAGATGGGCTGGACACGTAATGAGGTTTACAGACAACTGCTGGACTAGAGCCATTACTGATTGGATTCCACGGGACATCAAAAGATCACGTGGACGCCCACCTATAAGATGGTCAGACTTCTTCGTCAAGACCCTAAATGATCGGTTTGAAGCTCTGCATGTTCCTAGAACGAACAGATACCATTGGGCTACGCTAGCACGCAACCGGGATGAATGGAGACGTTACTGGCACCCGCTCGAATAAATCGATGAATAACGGGGATTAAGTGATTAAGTGATTAAGTGAAAATTAAAAGGCACTGGAAGTAAAAGCAATTTCAGGAAGCGTTAGTTTTAGAGTTCTTCTGGAAGCACAAGGAGATGGGAGAGGGCTTCCATTCCTGACTCCTTTTGAGCCTGGAGATTTCAGTCACAAAATCTGCATCTATTTTTCATTGGATTCATTCTCTTGTGTGAGGGGCTGATCCCGAGCCTCTTAAGATTGGCCGTGAGCATTCTGGCAATTGGGTTCTGGAGGTATTTGGCTGCCTGGGCTCTGATGGGACAAGTGGTGGACACATTGGATGAAGTCAGCCTAGTACAGGGTGAGGAGTCATCTCTGCAGTGTTTTGCTCTCTTCGAGATTTATTTGTGAGTAAGCTCATTAATGGTCATGATCCAAAGACTCACAAATAAATCTTGGAAAAGAACAACATGCCGGAGATGCCTCTGAACCGCTGAATCATTGTCCAGGTAAAAATTTAACTCCAGCTCTATCACCCTATTTAAAATTTTAGAATTCCTAAAATCTCATATACTCTGGGCTGGGGCAATAGCACAGTGGGTAGGGCGTTTGCCTTGCATGCGGCCGACCCGGGTTCGATTCCTCTGCCCCTCTTGGAGAGCCTGGCAAGCTACTGAGAGTATCCCTCCTCCACAGCAGAGCCTGGCAAGCTCCCCGTGGCATATTCGATATGCCAAAGACAGTAACAACAAGTCTCACAATGGAGATGTTACAGGTTCCCGCTTGAGCAAATCGATGAACAATGGGAGGACAGTGCTACAGTGCTCATATACTCTACACAACTGGTATGCTAGGAGTAGTACACCGCATTGGATTGGGTGAAAAGTAGATCTTGAGATGTATATATATATATATATATATATATATATATATATATACTGTTTGACTCTTCACATGCTTCCTAAATAGCCTAGGGTTTGAGATTAGTTTGGAGATTAAGCATGCAGGGATAGGGATATCCAGGAGAAGATTATGCTGTCAATACAGCATTTCTACCTACTCAATGATATGATATTATATATGTATATATATACATATTTATATGTATATACACACATACATACGCACACAAAACTCAACCTGTACCATGTTAGTGATCTCTTATACAGGGGCTTAAATGGCTCCAAGGAGACTTGCAGTCATTTACTTGGAGTACTTTTACTTCAAAATAAGTGAAATGCATATACTTCAAAAATTATATTATAAGGAAGGTAATCTTAAAAAGACTTGCTCCTACAACCTGGACTTACCTGCAACAAGGGAGAGCTTAACAGCTTTGTAGGTTTCATTCTTCTGGCCACTGCTGAGGATAGCACAAAGCTTGGTCAAGATCAGCTTGACAGAATGGGACTAGGTGGTAAGGGGTGAGATCTGGCATTACTCAAATATTTATCATTTACTACTCACTACTCCCAAAGAGACACTCCTTTGAAGATATCTCACAGTAAAGAGCCTAATTAGAATAAATCCATGATAATGACAGAATTGCCAGTCAGGTAACAATTGGGGAGTATCAACAGAAGGGGAATATTTAACCAAAAAACTATCCGTAACAGGAAATACAGACATACGTCTGAATTACATATATTTTTTATTCTAGCCCAGTTGCTATTTTAACTCCAAACCACAATGTTTTACTTAGAATCTGTGGATTGAAAAATGAAAACAACACAAAAATCTAAGAGAATACTACTCAACTGACAAGGCAGAAGGCAAGGATTCCAGGAAGGAAGGAAGGAAGGAGGAATGAATAGTGTTATTAAATATGATCCAAGTGCAAATTCCCTTCTGGTAGGCCCCTGTGAAGTGACATGCTAATGGATGTTCTATACTGGCGCAAAACTAACTAATGTCACTCAACTCATCTTTGGCAGCTGCAATGATAAATGATGGGTTGTTAAAGTTTATTCTTCTAAAAGTCTGTGAATGGGGGAAGATTCTCAACTTAAATTAAGTATTCAACATATTTCTCAAAAGGAAATATTGTGCAGCAGTTGTAATGTAGGAGCAGAGTTACTCAGCCAGCTCTCTAACATTAGGCATACCCAGCAATTTCTCTGGTTTGAGTGATTTGGCCAGGAGTAAAAATTGTTCTTAGTTCTTCCTTGTCACCTTCACCTTGGGATTTATAGCTATACTGAACTCGGGGACCTGAACAGATGCTGCAGATCATTATATGGAAGTTTCCTCTTCTAGTACACAGAGCAGAACAGAAAACCTGGCTGTTTTTCCTGGTGTTTCTTGCCACCCCCCTTAGAAATCTGCTCTGGCCACTATCCAGTTTGTATTTCTTTAAAACAAGGTCATTATCTTTGATAATCATGGTACAGTTATCAAAATCAGGAAATAAACATTGATATACTACTATTACCTACTGTATAGAACTATTACCTACTGTATAAAGTTCCTCCACTTGTGCCGTAGATAAATGCATTGTTGTTGCTTTTCTGCATTATAATTTATAATGAAATATTAAAATAATCAAGCTGTGGATTGGAGATATTTTTATGCTAATTTTTTTTCCTGTTAAAATACTATCTGATGATTATCCAGGCAAAACTTAATTAGGAAATAAAATACTCTCCAAACAGAAAAATCACCTAACATCTAATCACCTAGAAGTTCTTGGGTGATTACTAAAGTTTTACTCTTTTTTTAGCTTGATTGCAGGTATGAGAAGAACACTTTCTGTAAGTGGCATTTAAAGGCAGTTTTAATTTTCTTAACAGTAATGTGGCCTTAAGTTGCGCTAGGACTGATAGTATTGATATACTCCTCTATAAAGGTAATTTTGAATTTTGGCATTGCTTTAAAAATGCATCGTACATTGCATTGTTTTACATTATTTGTCCTAATTTAAATAATTATATTTTAAATGTTTGAAACTCTTTTTGTCAATTTTATAATGCAGAATTCAGATTGATCTTTGGATGTTTTCTAAATTTAAATAAAAATGATTATTGTATGCTTTGAGAAAAGAATTTTGACATACTGTGCGGTTTTGAAGCATGGGGAAAGAGTAGCCTTTTGGAGATCTCCCGGAGGACTTTACTGGAAACTAGACATTTTTGTCTTCAACCTTTTTTGTTTGTTTTCAGGGGGAGAAGATCTTTTACCTGATCCGCCCAACAAATGCCAACCTGACCCTCTTTGAGTGCTGGAGCAGTTCCTCTAATCAGAATGAGATGTTCTTTGGGGACCAGGTGGACAAGTGCTACAAGTGTTCTGTGAAACAAGGACAAACACTTTTCATTCCTACAGGTCTTTTCTTGGGCCATTCTGGGAGGATTGATGGAGAGTGAGAGAAGGAGGGGAACTTGCAGCAGATCTAACCCCTACCCTTAAATGTAGGCTATCCCTGTCATATCAACTGAAGGCTCAGAATTGGCCTTCAAGAATCATTGTATGCCTAATGTATGCCTAACTCAACTATCAGTAACTTTGTAAATCATGGTTCTAATTAAGAAAATTCACATCATGGGGACTAGAGTGATTATACAGGCAGGTAGGACGTTTGCTCTTTCACGCAGCTGACCTGGGTTTAATCCCCAGCACCTCATATAGGCCTAGGAGCTTGCCAGGAGTGTTCCCTGAGCACAGAGCCAAAAAAAGAAAATTCACATCATGGCAACATAGTTTCTTGGTAAGGTTTCAGGTGGGGAATACAAGAAAGAGGTGGATGGACTCCTTTGCAGTGGCCTAATATTGACTTGGTTGACAAAGAACAAGATTCTTAGACCCTAGAGTCTAGGGACAATGACTGGAAGGCCAGTATTGTAGGCTGTAAATTATAATGGACTGGGGTTGGGGTGCAGCTTTTTGCCTTAAACAATGCATGCTTAAGTATTGCCCCTGGAATCATTGATTTATAGGTGTGGCATAGGATCTGAGTGTGTATGTGTGTTTGTATTTTGAAAAATTTCCCCCAGTTTTCTTCTTTAAGGAAAATTGGTTATCTTCACTATGTTTTTTAATGATCTTTACCATGAGCCTTTACTATGAGTCTTTAATAAAAATAGCATTTCTTTATGTTTATTTAGATTTTCCTTGATTTCTTAATTCCTTCACTTGAGAATTTATGTTAAACTTTCTCAAAATGTTTAATAGAATTCTTTAGTGCAATCATATAGACCTGAAATTTTCTTTTGGGGAGAAAGTTTTTAATTCGCATTTATTTTCCTTAAATTTTAATCTATTCAAATTGTCTGTTTTGTGTTGGATAAATTGTGATAGTTTGTGTGTCTTAAGGAATTGATTCATTTTTCTCTCAGTTGTCAAATTTATATGTATAGACTTGTTCATAGTATGTTCTATTCATCATTTTGATGTCTTCGAAGACTAGTGATATTCTCTCTTTCATTCCCAATATTTGTTATGCTTGTTCTCTTTCATTCTTTTGATGAATGTTTGTTTTTTTCAAACTTTTTTGCTTTTTTTAAATCACCATGAGATACACAGTTACAAAGTTGTTTATGATTGAGTTTTAATTATACTATGTTCTAATACCCTTTCTTTCACCAATGTACATTTCCCGTCACCAATGTCCCCAGTTTCCCTCCCATCCTCCATCCCCTGGCCTGCCTCTGTGGCAGACACTTTCTTTCTCTCCCTTTATTCCCCTTTTCCCTTTTTAGGCACCTTACTGAAAGGTTATCTTTACCAGAAAAGCTATTTGTTTTACTGATTTTCTCTTTTTCCATTTTCAATTTCATTAATTTCTTAACCCGCTTTGTGTTTATTTTTTCTCCTTTTTCCAGTTTTGAGATGTCTTCTGATATGTTAAATATTTTTTAAATGTATTTAAAAATGTTCTGTCAGAAGTTTAGATATAATTTATATGCTATAATACTTAATCATAGTAAAGCATGTAGTTATTTAAAAAAATTTTATGCAGCTATATTTGATACCAGAAAGAAATTTTTAATATATATATTAAAAAGGTAAAGGCCCTCCCGTTGATCGTCGATTTGCTCGAGCGGGCCCAGTAACGTCTCCATTGGAGACTTTGTTGTTACTGTGTTTGGCATATCGAATACTCTCGGTAGCTTGCCGGGCTCTCTGAGAGGAGCGGAGGAATCGAACTCGGGTCGGCCATACTGGCCGCTTGTACGGCGAACGCCCTACTGCTGTGCTATCGCTCTAGCCCTAATATATATATATATATATTAAATATATTTAATACCAGAAAGAATTTTTTTTGAGTTACACTCAGTGATGCTCAGGGCTTACTCCTGGCTCTACACTCAGGGATCACTCCTGGTGGGACTTGGGGTACGATATGGGGTGCCAGGATTCAAACCCAGGTTGGGTTCAAGTGCCTTAGCTGCTGTACTATCTTTTTAGCCCCCTACTAGAAAATTTGAATTGCTTCATAATGGAACCCTGCACCCATTAGCAATCATTCTTTAGTCCTCATTTTTTTAGCCCCTGTCAGCCACTTTTATATTTTTGTTGTATTTGGAATTTGCCTGTTCTGAATATTTCATATAAATTGAATCATGAAATATCTAATTTATTTTTGGTATCTGACTTCTTTTAGTGAGAATATGTTAGAGATTATTCAGGGCTAGAGTTGATAGTACAGTGGATAGAGAGTGTGCTTTGGTCACAACTAAACCAGGTTTAATCTCTGACAACGTATATGGTTCCCAGGAGTGATCCCTGAGCACGGACCCAGACGTAAGCCCTGAGCACAGGCAGGTGTTACCCCCCCAAAAGCAAACAGAAGAACTATTCAGTGTTACAGCATTTATCATAATTATTTTTCAAAGGGGGCTGGAGCGATAGCACAGCGGGTAGGGCGTTCGCCTTACAAGCGGCCAACATGGCCGACCCGAGTTCGATTCCTCCGCCCCTCTCGGAGAGCCCGGCAAGCTACCGAGAGTATTCGATATGCCAGACACAGTAACAACAAAGTCTCCAATGGAGACGTTACTGGGCCCGCTCGAGCAAATCGACGATCAACGGGAGGGCCTTTACCTTACCTTACCTTATTTTTCAAAGATGAATTTTTTATCTCGATGTACCATGTTTATCTATTCTACATTTATAGATATTTGAGGTTTTCACTTTTTGGCTATTCATAATGCTATAAATATTCATGCATAGATTATTGTATGTGAATTTTTTGTTTTTATATTTGGACCACACCCAGTGGTCCTCAGGACTATTGTCAGCTCTCTACTCAATGTTCAAAGGTAACTCCTGGAGGAGTTCAAGGAACCATATGTTATGCTGGGGATCAAAAGTGGAATTCCTGCATGCAAAACATATTTTCTGTCCTACTGAGCTATCTCTACAGCCCTTTTTTTCAGTTTTCTTGGCAGTTTGTTTAGTAGAGGAATTGTTGAGTCACATTTAACTTCCGAAGAGCTTGCTATATTGTCCTAAAGCAGCTGCACCATTTTACACTTCCACCAACAATTTATGAAGATATCAATTTTCCATATCTTCCCCAACACTGGTTCTTATCTGTCTTTATTATTATTAGCCATTCTGGTTGGTATAAGAAGTATTATTGACATTTTAATTTGTGTTTCCCTAATGACTATTGATGATGAGCATCTTTCCATGTGCTTATTGAACATCTATATATCACTCTTGGAAAAATGTTTGTGTAAAATCTTTTTAAATTTTTTAATTGGGTAATTTGTAATATTTTTAATTGTAAGAAATATTTATCTGTTTTTGATTATTATCAATTATTATCAAAATTATCTTTTATCCAGTTTAATGATTTACAAATATATTTCTGCTTATGGAAGTTGTCAATTCACTCTTTTGAAAATATCTTATGAAATGTAAATATTACAAATTTTCATGTTCAGTTCATTTTTTCCTGTTCTTTGGGATATAGCCATAGTGGTCAGAGCTTACTTCTGGCTCTGTGCTTAGGAATCGCTCCTGACAGGGCTCAGAAGATCACCTGGGATGTCAGCGATCAAACTAGCGTCTGCTATATGCAAGGCAAAAGCCCTACCTGCTTCATTACCACTCTGGCTTACTTTATTTTTTTTGCTTGGTTTTTAGTATCATATCTAAAAGACTATTGACTAATTCAAGAGCATGGATATTTGTATGTTTTCTAGGAGTTTTTCTAGTTTTTATTCTTATATTTAGGTCTTTCATCATTTTAAGTTAATTTTATTTTGTTTTAGGGCCATACCCGTGCACAGGGCTTATTTCTGATTTTGTGCCCAGGGCACAAAATTACCCCTGGTAATTCTTTTTTCCCCCCTTTTTAAAAATATTTTTTAGTGAATCACCGTGAGCTATTGTTACAAAGCTTCCATAATTGAGTTTCAGTCATATAATGATCGGGCACGTATCCCTCCACCAGTGTACATTTTCACCACCAGTGTCTCCAGTATCCCTTCCACCATTCCACCACACCCCACCTCCTGCCTCTGTGGCAGACAATTTCTTTTTACTCTCTCTTTACTTTTGGGCATTATGGTTTGCAATACAGATACTGAGAGGCCATCATGTTTGGTCCTTTATCTACTTTCCCATACATCTCCCACCCAAAGTGATCCCTCCAGTCATCTAAGTCCTGATAGTTCTTAGGGGACCATATGGAGTGCTGGGGATTGAATTTGGGTTAGCTTATTCAAGCCAAGCTCCCTATTCACTGTACTATCTCTGACCCTTCAAATTCTACAACTGAAGTAAAATTCCAAGTTAATTATTTATTTTTGTTTTGTGTGCCATATCCAGGGCTGGAGCGATAGCACAGCATGTAGGGCGTTTGTTTGTCTTGCATGCGGCCGACCTGGCTGATCGGAGTTCGATTGCTCCACCCCTCTAGGAGAGCCTGGCAAGCTACCGAGAGTATCTCGCCTGCACGGCAAAGCCTGGCAAGCTACCCATGATGTATCTGATATGCCAAACACAGAAACAACAGGTCTCACAATGGAGACATTACTGGTGCCCGCTCGACCAAATTGATGAACAGTGGGAGGATAGTGCTCATGCTAGTGCATATCCAGCTGTGCTCAGGGCTTACTCCTGGCTCTGCGCTCAGTGATAATTCCTGTCAGGGTTTTGGGAACCATATGCGCTGCCGGAGATTGAACTCTCAGCTGATAAATCAAAAAAGATATAAAAGACAATTCAGATAGAAAAGTATAAGCACATCATGACTATGTGAAGAAGTTTATGGATATTGGAACCTAAAGTTTAAAGACTGGTAGCAGAAAAAGTGGGCAGGCTAAACTTACCTTAGAGATAGCTTTGATTTATGTGGTTTATATTGATTAATAATCATAAATTAGTACTGAGAAAAATTTTAACTAGTGAGAAATAAAAATAAACCTAATATATTTAACATAGCACAGCGGCAAGGCGTTTGCTTTGTGCGCAGCCAGCCCGGCTGAGCCAGGTTCGATTCCTCTGCCCCTCTCAGAGAGCCTGGCAAGCTACCAAGGGTATATTCAATATGCCAAACACAGTAACAACAAGTCTCAAAATGGAGACATTACTGGGCCTGCTTGAGCAAATCGATTTAACATAAACAATAAAAATTTATTCCCCTTTTCTCCCTTTTTAGTTTTTGTTGTTTTGATGACCAGAGATCACACACTTCATTGCTATATTTATTCACTTGATTGTGGTGTTTGTACACTTGAACTTGATTGTGATAATCACATGCTTCATATGGTGCTTTAACATGTATGTGCCATGGTTTGCACTTCTTAGTTTTGGTGCTTACACACATTTTGGTTGCAGTGCTTTCCAGGGGGTCACATATGTGGTTGTGATATTAATACACTAGTTGTGGTGCTTGCTTTGGTTTGAATACTTATGTTGATGCACACTTTAGTTGTGGCACTTGCTGTAGTTCTCATACTTAAGTACACCAGAAATCATATACTTTGTTATGCTTGAGTTCCCAAATGGCAGTACTGCTGGAATTGTGCTCGGTGCATATGGGGCAGTGCCAGGAATCATGGCCTTATCCTTGCAAGGCAGGCACTTTGCCACTGAGCTATCCCTGGGGCTTTTTAGCAATTTTTTATAAAAAATAGCAATTTTCAAACCAAGAAGATTTAATGATGTGAGTGACATTAGATGTTTATGGTAAATATTTAAATGTGTAGGTTAAATGACTGAATTTTCAAATCTTCATCTGTATATTGTGCTTACATATCATATAACCTCTGGAAAACAGTACATACTCATGAGACAGTAAGGGTAAAAAGCACAATTAACATTTTAGTATTACTGTGAACATAATTTTACTTTGTACATGCTCTGAAAGAATATCAAGGAGCCCACAATTCTCTGGACAACACCATGAGAACTGGTATAAATTGAACATTTAGAACATGATAAGAGATTCTAATTGCTGATAATATGAGAGATGATGAAGGATCTGAACTAAGCACTTGTAAGATATATGAATGGATGGAGAAGATGCTCTGAGCATGAGACTTAAGAAGAAAAATCGAGGGACTAGAGAGATAACGGAGTTTTGGTTAGGCTAGATTTTGAGCCTCATAGTACAGCAGGTAAGGCTTGCCTTGCACACAACTGACTCAAGTTTGATCCCTTACACTGTGTACTCACCATCCTCTGAGCCTAGCTAGGGGTGATCCCTGAGCACAGCTGGCTGTGCCTCCAAAAACAGGAGAAAAGAAAAATCAAAAGGTTCCAGAAAGAGGCAGAAGGGAGTATTTGAGTTCCAGCTAGATATGTATTTCACCACTGAACCTGTGAAAACAGTATTCCTCTAGAAAAAGGCAGCATTTTAGCATAGGTTTATCTAACACAAATCTCTTTGTTTTACCCAAGGCAGAGTTAGGAATAATTTCACCAAGAGGAGCTCTTCTTAGAGGCAAGAGAGGGGACATTTAAGGCCACAGAGTGTTGTTGTTGTAGTTGTTGTTGTTGTTGTTGTTGTTGTTGTTGTTGTTGTTGTTCTTCTTCTTCTTCTTCTTCTTCTTCTTCTTCTTCTTCTTCTTCTTCTTCTTCTTCTTCTTCTTCTTCTTCTTCTTTTTCTTCTCCTTCTTCTTCTCCTTCTCCTCCTCCTCCTTCCTCCTCCTTCCTCTTCCTTCCTCCTCCTTCCTCCCCCTCCCCCTCCCCCTCCTCCTTTCCTTCCTTCTCTCCCTCCTCCTCCTCCTCCTCCTCCTCCTCTTTCTTCTTCTTCAACTTCTTCATTATTATTTGGGCTGGAGCGATAGCACAGCAGATAGGGCATTTGCCTTGCACACGGCCAACCCAGGATCAATTCCTCTGCCCCTCTTGGAGAGCCCAGCAAGCTACCGAGAGTATCCTACCCACACTGCAGAGCCTGGCAAGCTCCCCATGGCGTATTTGATATGTCAAAAACAGTAACAACAATTCTCACAGTGGAGACGTTACTGGTGCCCACTTGAGCAAATTGATGAACAATGGGAAAACAGTGCTACAGTGCTCCTATTTTCATAAAATTGTTCATAATCATTGATTACATTCAATATTTCAGCACCAGTCCCATCACCATTACACTTTCCCACTACTATTATTTCGAAGTTTCCCACCACCACTCTAGCTGACCCCACAGGCAGATGCTAATTTATTTTGTATTGCTTGTTATGAGTAGTATAAGATGTGTATAAAGGTCCATCTCACAGTGATTCAACAAAAAAGCAAAAACAAATAGTGTGAGATATTGCATGGCTGCTTTTGTGGCCACGTGCTCCTGGGATTGTAAAAATTTAAATAATTTGGGTTTGGAGCCATCCCTGCAGTGAGCTGCTCAGTTCCAAGATTCATTTGTGAATCTCTAGATCATGGCCAGTAATGTGCTTAAATGGCACCCAGAGGCAGTTCATTGGCAAGATAGCCATGACCCCAGAAGGGCAGAGAGATTGGAGGGAACGACCCAGTCCTGACCCTGTGAGGCTTGGCGTTTTCAGTCACTGGTCTCACATGGCTGGGTTTTTCAGCCTATTTAGTCTCTTGCGTGGGGGGCTCAGGACAAGTTTGTGAAGATTTGCTGTGAGGGTGGTGGCAATTGGTTTCTGGAGGTTTCAGGCTGCCGGGGTTCATCTGTTGCAGGCAGAGAGAGAAAATGCCTGCTCCCATCTGAGATTCCCCTGTATAATCAGCCCAGCGCATTGTCTGGAGCCATCCCTGCAGTCAGCTTCTCAGTTCCAAGATTCATTTGTGAGTCCAACAGAGAGGTTTTAAAGTGAGAAAACAGAAGTAGGAGTTTTTTTTGTTTGGTTTTGGGTTTTGGGCACCCAGTAATGCTCTGAGGGTACTCCTGGCTCTGAACTCAGGAATCACTCCTGGAAGGGCTCGGGACCATATGGAATGCTGGGGATAGAACTTGGTTTGGACTTGTACAAGGAAAGTGCCCTATTCACTGTGATATTGCTCTGGTCCAAGATATAGGAGTTTCTTTTTTCTTTTGTCTTTTTGGGTCATATACAGCCATAACTGATTAGCAGTTACTCCTGACTCTCCACTCGGGAATCACTCCTAGTGGGGCTCGAGGTACCCTATGGGATACCAGGGATCAAACCCAGGTTGACTGCATGCAAGACAAATGCCATACCTGCTGAACTATCACCCTGGCTTAAGAAATAGGAGATTTTCTTTTTCTTTTTCTTTTCTTTTTCTTTTTGCTTTTTGGGTCATACCCAGCGATGCTCAGGAGTTGCTTCTGGCTCTGCACTCAGGAATTACTCCTGGCAATGCTTGGGGGACCATTATGGGATACTGGGGATTGAACCCGTGTCGGCTATGTGCAAGGCAAATGCCCTACCCGCTGTACTATCACCCCATCCCTGAAATAGGAGTTTCTTAACACCGTATGTTGATTCAGCTCGAAGTTATAATGATGACAGACTTGGCCAGGAGAATTGTTGGAATAGTGGAGGAACAGGATGTGTTGAGTCACTACCACACTTGCTGCATGAGGCAGTTGAGTATTTGTTAAGCAGGCAGTGGAGTACACAGAGCAGAAAGGCTCTTTGTCAACTACGTTTTTATCTTGTTACTCTGCAGGATGGATCCATGCTGTTCTGACACCTGTTGACTGCCTTGCATTTGGAGGGAATTTTCTACACAGCCTTAACATTGAAATGCAGCTCAAGTGAGTCTTGAAACTGCAGTGATCCTGACTTGACCATTCTCATCTGCTATAATTCTTGGGTTGTCCCCTGTAGTGAGGAGTGTATTATACAAGATGCAAGCTGACTAGAAGTGAAGGGATATTGGTTCATTCTTAGGATAAATACTTCATTCTCCATACCATTTGAACTCAAGATTCCTAACCCATAAAGTAGGATTTTACAGAGTATATGTAATAAGAGGTAATGGATAGAAAGCTTCCAAAAAATACTTGATGTTTAGCTAGGTGTTTAGTTAACAGCAGCCTTGTTATTGTTTTTAATGTGTCTAATTCCTTCAGAGCCTATGAGATTGAGAAGCGGCTGAGCACAGCAGACCTCTTTAAATTCCCCAACTTTGAGACCATTTGTTGGTATGTGGGAAAGCACATCCTGGACATCTTTCGAGGTATAGTATCATTTTCCAACTTTCCCTTTTGTCCTATTCCAGTGTGTACATATGTGTGTTTATGAGGCTATCTCCTAAATCAAATTACAGTACTACTCCATCACCCCAAAGTGACCCTTTTACAATCTTATTCCCTCTCTTTCCCTGCACTATTAATAATGAAAATAATTCATCTGTTCTTTCTTATAATTTTATCACTTCAGAAATTCTATAAAGTGTAATAATATGATCTTTTGAGATTGACTTTTTACTAAAATATAATGTAACACAAAGGGCATGGATTTTGATGAATTTATTTAGGAAAAATGACAGAGATTATTGGATCACAGTGAAATTATCCCTCCTTCCTGTTAATTAGGGTAATAAACTGAGTCTGGATAGTCTGGATAGAGTTTCCTGGCTATTCGCATAGGGACAGGTCCAGTCTGGATTGCCCTGGCACCATTGTGTTGGTTCCTGGTTATCACTAATACGCCCTTTCTTCTTTCCTTTCTGCTCTGAAATATAGTTTCTCTCTAATTTAAGATTCTTCTTTGTCTTGCCTAAGGGTGGAATCTGTATCTCAAAATTACAAAGACCTTCCAAGGCTAATGAATACAGTCTCCTACCCAACACCTCAAGTGCTTATTCTGTCATCTAGAAAGATTGTCACTAAAGTGTTCGGCGACAGAGTGACTATCTGTTCATTACCTGTTATGAATAGTTCAATAGAATATTCTTTATTGAGTCAAAAGCTGACTGTTATAAACTTGTCCTGGAGTAACCCAGAACAGCTAATCTTTCCTTTGCACTAATTGCCCTTTAGATTCACAAAAGCGGCAGTCATGGTTCTTTTAGTCACATTTTGAGCCCAAGAGGAAGAGTAGAGCAGTAGAAAGAGAACGGGCCTTGGATTCAAAAGTCTTTCATAGTTTCCAGTCTTTCCTTTGGCACATCTTAGCTATGTTTCCTTAGTAAAGTCTTTTTGTCTCTTTGAGCCTCAAGGTAAGTAATGCAGAGTAATGCCTAGTGAACAAGGTAGATATATGAGGTCCAGAGAGATAGTACAGCAGGTAAGATGCTTGTCTTGCATGTGGCTGACCTGGATTTGATAACTAGCACCACATATGGTTCCTTCAAGCTTGCCAGGAGTCATCACTGAGTACAGGGCCAGGAGTGAGCACTACTGAATGCAAAAGCTCCTTCCTCCAAAATAAGATAGGTATATGGATTAAATAGTATAGTAGGTGTCAGTGCTTGGCAGACAAGAGGTTCTCATTGAATAGACTCTATTCTAAGAAATGAAATCAAGTTGTACTCAGAATTTGAGCATTTTCTCTGGTTACCTGAAAATGGCAGCATATGCTTTACTGCTGCCTGACTTCATTGACGTTCCACTTTTCTCTTTCACTCTCTAGGTCTGCGAGAGAACAGGAGACATCCTGCCTCCTACCTGGTTCATGGTGGCAAAGCCTTAAACTTGGCCTTTAGAGCTTGGACAAGAAAAGAAGTAAATAAACATTTCTTTATCTCCTCTAGAATCTCTCCTCCATAGGGAGTGGCTTTGGGTAAATGAGTTGTGGAGGCACAAGAGAACAGGGAGGCTTGTCTGCTCCTGGAATTACAGCGAAGGACTACATTAGGATTTTTTTTTCTCTTTTTATATGTAGGAGTACTGCTATTTATTCAGCCACTGCTTAGCTGACTGAATTGGGCATGAACTCCATCTTATTTTTTTTCTCATAATTTATTATTTTTTCTTCTTATATTTATTTATTGAATCACTGTGGGAAAAGTTACTAAGCTTTCAGGTTTAAGTCTTGGTCACACAATGATCAAACACTTCTCCCTTAACAAGTACTCATTTTTCACCACCAAGAACCCCAATATACCCCCCACCCCTCCCAATGCCTGTGAGGCAGATGATTTCCACTTAACTCTTCTCTACATTGATTACATTCATTATTTCGACAAAAGATGTACCATTATTGTTTAGAATCCCCCCCAACAATCAGAATTGCTGAAAAGGCATTGTGAAATACTTTGTTTTCTATAGCTGGTTATGAGAATCAAATAATCTCGCGTGGCCGCAATAGCGGCCTCATGATTTTGGATTTCTGCAAAAAGCCAGATAATTACAAGATTGGTTTCTGTGCATCTGTGGTGTTATGGCTGTGCCAGATAGCCGCTTGTGGGGGGCAACTTGTGACCTCCATAGGGCGTGCAGGACGAGCCGGTACCACCCCCCTTCCCATGAGACTGCAGTTGCCCCGTCACCGCTGGCTCATACCTGGCTTTCCAAGAAGCTCTGAGGTGGCGGCCACCTTGTATATGGTCCAGATGCATTTCTGCCAAAAGCCCCTGGGTTTTGAGATTTGTTTCTGAGTCTCTGGGATTATGGCCATTAATTAGCTTGATCAGGAGCCAGAGAGGCCGTTTGTAGGCAGCAACTTGGGGTCTCGCTGGAATGGGGAGGAAAGGGCTGGTTCCACCCCCATCTGGTGAGGCCCCATGAATCTTGTCACCGCAGACCCAAACCTGACTGTCCAGTGGCCTCTGGAGGATGGCGTTCACTGGGCTGCTAGGGGGAACAGGCCAAGGCACAAAACCTATTCCCACCTGGATTGGCCCAGTTCCTGCTGCAGGAACAGGATGCATTTCTGCCAAAAGCTTTTGGGTTCCGAGATTCGTTTCTGAGTCTCTGGGATCATGGCCATTAAGCAGTTCGATCAGGAACCAGAGAGGCCATGCCTCCAATTATATAGCTGGGCCGGAGGTGGTTTATGGGTGTGTCTCCCACATACCTAACTTTTGGCTGTTTACTTTCTTGGTAAACTTTGCCCCAAGTTTTTGAGGTCTGGCCAAAGGCACAGCAGCAATTTTGGGGTATCTGAAAGTCTGACGGTGCCATGAGGCTGCTGGTGTACTCGCCTCACAGGTACAAATTGACCTGCTGGCGGCACCATACCCCCGTAGATTAGGATTTCTTAAATTGCATTATTGGATTTCATTTTGAAATCTTTATACTTTTTTTTAAAAAAGTAGAAAAATATAGAGGAGTATAAGGAAGGAAAAACGGCAACTGTAATTCCAATACTAGGAGAGACATAATGTTTATTTTGTGGTTTTCTTTGGTTTTTTTTATATTATTTAAAAAGCAACTGTGATAGGCTAGAGAGGTACTAAGCAGGTAGGGCACTTGAGGTTTGATCCCTGCACACCATATGGTCTCCTTAGCCCTGCCAGGAGTGATCCCTCAGCACAGTCAGGAGTAAGCCCTGAGTACTGCTGGGTATTGCCCAGAAACAAACAAAAAATAAGTAAAAATAAAAATAATTGTGATCACTCTATGCATACAATTTTGTATCTGAATTGGTTGACTTAATTTTTATGTAACACCAAACTTGTTCATAACATTTAATAGTTACATGATATTCCTTTCTTGGGATGTTATATCTTTACCTAACACTCTTTTTATTGTTGTTTTTAAAAAATTTTTGAAATTGTAGATACAGAGAAACATCAAGTAAATACCTGTATACAGCAATCTTTGTTGCTCATCTCTTGATTTGTTTATTCAGCATAGATTTCTAGAAGAGCAGCTACTCTTACTAAAAGAGCAAAGTATATGAAAATAAAAGGCTCTCTATACATATTGCCAAATTGATTTTTAAGAAATATGCCAATATCCATTTATCTGGATATTAAAATAGCTATAAAAGAAAATAAGAGAGTTCTCTATGCACCTTTTGGGAACAAACTCCAGAATTCTCAAGTAAAGGTGTAAAACAGTTTGTGTTTTGTGTTACCTTTTTTGTACAGAGTAGGGGCAGGAAAAAATACTTGTATTTACTTATATTTATCTGTACACATTATTGAAGGATATAAAAGAAACTAATAAAAGTGGTTACACCGGGGGCTGGTTTCTAATGGAGTTCATGGCAGGGACGAGGTAGGAGTAAAGCTTTTCAGTATGTATATTGTTGTATTGTTTGATTTTTTTTTTCAGGGGCCACACTCAGTTTTACTCAGGGCTTACTCCTGGCTCTGCACTTAGTGATCATTCCTGGCAGGGCTCTGGTTTTCATGGGGCACCAGGGATGGAATCCAAGTCGGCTTCTTTCAGGGCAAGTGCTTTAGCTGATGTATTCTCTTGCCCCTATTGTTTTATTTTTTAATCATATGAATGGTTTATTTTGTAAAACCTTTTAATTAAAGGTAGCACTGTAGCACTGTCTTCCCGTTGTTCATCGATTTGCTCAAGTGGGACCAGTAACGTCTCCATCATGAGACTTGTTACTGTGTTTGGCATATCGAATACGTCATGGGTAGCTTGACAGGCTTTGCTGTGCGGGCAAGATACTCTGGATAGCTTGCCGGACTCTCCAAGAGGGGTGGAGGCATCAAATTTGGGTCGGCCAGATTGGCTGTGTGCAAGGCAAACGCCCTACCTACTGTGCTATCGCTCCAGCCCTAAAACCCTTTAATTAAAGGTAAGAAATGCAAATAACCAAAAGAAATATTAATATAAGGGTATAGCCTTAAGCTTCTGATACTTTAGATTGTGGTATATAAAGTACTTTATACAGTGGTGTATAAGATCCTTCATCAGCTGAAGGCTTAAATTGCTCAATTTCCCCATTTCCTGTTGCCAACTTTCTCTTCACATAACCTTGGAATTCATGTTTTGAGCTTTTCCTTTGTTCCCCAGACTTAGCCTGTGAACCTGTTTCTCCTCATTTTTCAAATGTGGTTCCCGTGGGTTTCATCTCTTAAGTGCTCCTCCTTACCCATCTAACCCTTGTGAAATGAAATTTAGAATGACTATGTCTCAGAATCATCAAAATGGAAGATGGAGATGAGTCATAATCACTTATGCTTGGGCCAGGATTCCCCCATATAACTTGACTGAAAGGAGCTGGAGAGAATAGGGCATATCTAAGAAAGAAGTAGTGCTTGTAGGCTGGGGAGATAGTATAGCTGGCAGGTTCATTCCCTGTAGCCCCATATGATTCACCACTGGGTGTGGTCCAAAAATACCCCCAGACAACAGTAAAAAGAAATAGTACGTGTGAAAGAATTATTTGGATAAGTGCAGATGACTTCAGTGGGATACACCTGACCTCTCACCTCCCCATAGTGCCTGCCTGTATTTGGACAAAGAAACTTTTAGTTATCTAGCTAGGTCACATAATTTTTTAGCCCCCACTCTAGCCACCAAAATAAATTACAGATTGGTGATATTGGCACATCTGTGGTATGGTATCTACCCCTAAATCATATAAACATTTGCAGTTTTGTAAACCAGTATTACCTCAATTTTCAAAAAGTTAAACAAGGTCTGAAGCCATAATAAAGCAGATAGGGTGATTGCCTTGCTTCATGCAGCTGATATGGCTTCAATCCCTATGATCCACTGGGTCCTGCCAGGAGTAATTCCTGAGTGCAGTTCAAGAAATAACCACCGAGCCTTGCCAGGTGTGGCCCCTATACAAGCAAAATAATAAAATAAATTTAAAAAATTTAAATAAGAAGAAGACTAGAGGAATCAAGAAGGAAATGCTAAGGAATTTTTTGCATTTCCTCGGAATACAAAGGTGAAGTGGAAACTGGTGGACAAAATTGCAAAAGGAAAGTTTGAGGGCTCTGTCTATATAAATAATGAAATTTTTAAAGACTAGATGGATTAAAAGGGATAGAGGTAGCAGTTCTGTCCTTGAATTGACTCTTTTTTATTAAATGTAGTAGTACACATTTTATTCATTCATTGATTAAGCTGACTGAATTGGGCATGAACTCCACATTACTTTTTTTCTTCTTTTTTTTAATTGAATCATTGTGAGATACAGTTACAAAGCTTTCATGGTTAAGAGTCAGCCGTATAATGATCGAACACCCATCCCTCCACCAGTGCAGACTTTCCACCACCAGTGTCCACAGTATATCCTAACCCCCATCCCTGTCCTCATCCTGCCTCCATGATAGGCAATTTCCCCAATACTCTCTCTGTACTTTTGGGCATTGAGTTTTGCTTGAATTTTCCCACCACCATTCAAGCCTGCCTGCCAGGAGCAGATACTATATTATTTATTTTCCATTGCTCATTTTGAAAATCTTGAGTGTCACAGCCACATGCTTCTGGAATCCTAGATTGTAAATGGTTGGGCTCCAGAGACATTTCTGTAGGGCACTAATCCATTTTGGGATTCAATTGGGCAACGAGTAGGCAGAGAGCCGGGGAGGGACAGCTTAGCGTCTCTGCCACCATGTGGCATGGAGAGTTAGTCCTGGAACCTGTATTCTTGGGCCTTGATTGTGGAAGCTCTTGGTCGCTGGGATTCCTTCTGGAGTAGGTGTGGAGACTGCACCTGCTCCATCTGGGGTGCCCTGGTGAAATTGGCTTGGTATGGGGCCTGGAGAGATCTCCAGTTCTGTGGTGTCTTCCCAGACTCGCTGCTTTGTCTCTGGCTTTTGATCTCTTTCGAGATTTATTTATGGGTCTATGAAGCAAGGCAGTTTACAGGGTGGTGCTGGCGTTGGTTTGTGGGGTGACTGCCAGTGCTTCCATGTGTATTTGGAAGTGGGAGGAGGTAGCCCAGCCCAACTCAATGAAAGCCTGAAGATTTCAGTCACAAAACCCTCATACCCAAAATTTCAGCAGATTATATCTTGGTGAGGTCCATCCTGAGATGGTGGAGTCAGGCCGGGGGTATGGCGGCGATTTTGGATTGTGGAAGCAAGCAGCTGCTGGGGGCTCTTCTTGGGCAGGCACAGGCCAACCTGCCCCCCTCTGATTTATCCCAGTCTCTTCAGCCATGTGTGGGTCCGAAATTAATTGTGGCTTTTTGTTTCTTTGAGATTTATATATGGGTCTCTGAGATAAGGCCAATAAATGAGCTTGTATAGCTGAGCCCGAGGTGGTTTGTGGGCATGACTCCCACAAACCTAACTTTTGGCCATTTAATTTCTTGGTAAACTTGGTCCCAAGTTGTTGGGGTCTGGTCAAAGTCACAGCGGAAATTTGGGGGTCTCAGGAAGCATGAAGGCATCATCAGACTGCTGATGCACTTGCCCCAAAGGTACAGGTTGACCTGTTGGTGGCATCATACCCTCTGAATTGAATCTTGAAATATCTATAGGACTCTAGCTGTTCAGCACTGAGTTGTTTCCTCATAAGTGGAAAGACAGTATTGTCCCTAGAGAGCTCCCAGAGTTTTTTTCTTTTTTATTGTAATTTTTGCTTTTTTGGGCCACACGGATGCTCAGTGGGTACTCCTGCCTCAGCACTCAGAAATCACTCCTGGAGGTGGTCAGGGCACCTTATATAATGCTCGGTCTGCTGCATGCAGGGCAAGCTCCTTAACTGCTGTACTGTTGCTTCCTTCGGCCCCAGTTTCCAGTTTTTCTCTTTTTGACAGGTATAGCTCAAACCTGCACCTGAAATTCTCATACCTTTGTCACCATATTTTATTAGACATATGTTTTACAAATATTTTCTCCATGCCCATGTCTTGTTTTACTAGGGTTTCTAAATAGAAGTTTTAATTTTAAAAAAAAAATTAAACTCATTTGGATGTGGGCCAGACTCTGTGGTGTGAGATGATATCGCATTGTTGTTTTGATATGCATCTCCCTGATGATTAATGATGTAGAGCATTTTCTCATGTGCCTTTTTGCCATTCGGATTACTTCTTTGAGAAAGTTTCTATTCATTTCATCGCCCCATTTTTTGATGGGGTTGGATGTTTTCTTCTTGAGGAGTTCAACAAGTACTTTGTATATCCTTGATATCAACCCCTTGTCGGATGTGTATTGGCGAATATCCATTCCCATTCTGTAGACTGTATTTTGGTTACTGTTTCTTTTGAGGAGCAGAAGCTTCTTAGTTTAAGATAGTCCCATTTGTCTATCTCTGTTTTCACTTGCTTGGCCAGTGGCGTGACATCTTTGAAGATACCATCAGCTTCAATGTCATGGAGGGTTTTGCAACTTTGTCTTCAATGTACCTTGTGGATTCTGGTCTGATGTTGAGGTCTTTAATCCATTTTGATCTTACTTTTGTACATGGTGTTAGGCAGAGTTCTGAGCACATTTTTTTGCATGTAGCCAGTTTTGCCAGCACAATTTGTTAAAGAGGTTTTCCTTACTCCACTTCACATTTCTTGCTCCTTTATCAAAGATTAGATGATAATATATTTGAGGGGAGATGTCAGTATATTCAACCCTGTTCCATTGGTCTGCAGCTCTGCCTTTGTTCCAGAACCATGATGTTTTAATTATTACTGCTTTGTAGTAGAGTTTGAAGTGAGGGAGGTTGATCCCTCCCATTTTCTTCCCAAGAATTGCTTTAGCTATTTGTGGGTGCTTATTGTTCCATATGAATTTCAGGAGTGTTTGCTCCATTTCTTTGAAGAATGTCATGGGTATTGTTATAGGGATCACATTGATTTTGTACAATGCTTTGTGAAGTATTGCCATTTTGACAATGTTAATTCTCCTGATCCATGAGCAGGGATTGTCTTTCCATTTTCTCGTGTCCTCTTTTCTTTCCTGAAGTAGTGTTTTGTAGTTTTCTTTGTACAGATCCTTTACTTTCTTAGTTAATCTGATTACTAGGTACTTGATTTTCTGGGGCACAATTGTGAAAAGCAACCGGTGCTGGTGTGGATGTGGTGAGAAAGGAACCCTCCTTTACTGCTGGTGGGAATGCTGAATGGTTTAGCCCTTTTGGAAAACAGTATGGAAGATTCTCAAAAAATTAGAAATTGAGCTCCCATTTGACCCGAAATACCACTTCTGGTAATATATCCCAGAGAGGCAAAAAAAGTATAGTCGAAGTGACATCTGCACTTGTTTGTTCATTGCAGCACTCTTTACAATAGCCAGAATCTGGAAAAAACCTGAGTGCCCGAGAACAGATGACTGGTTAAAGAAACTTTGGTACATCTACACAATGCAGTACTATTTAACTGTTAGAAAAGATGAAGTCATGAAATTTACATACAAGTGGTACTATATGAAAAATATCATGATAAGTGAAATGAGTCAGAAAGAGAGGGATAGACATAGAAATATTGCATTCATCTGGGGAACATAAAGTAACAAAATAGGAGACTAACAGCCAAGAATAGCCGAGATAAGTACCGGGAGATTTACTCCATGGCTTGGAGGCCAGCCACACATGCCTAGGGGAAAAGGCAGCTCAGGTAGAGAAGAGAGCACCAAATAAAGGGTGTTGGAAGGATCCTTCCAGGATTGGGAGATGCGTGCTGAGAGTAAACTTTAGACAGAACATGATTGCCACTCAATGCCTCTTTTGCAAACCACAACACCCAAGAGGAGAGAGAGGGAACAAAAGGGCAGGGTAGGATGGGGTGGGGGGTAGGGGGTGGGAGGGATACTGGGATCAGTGGTGGTGGAAAATTGGCACTGGTGGGGGGATGGGTACTTGATCATTGTATAATTGAAACCCAAGCACAAAAGTTCGTAAGTCTACCACTGTACCTCATGGTGTTTCACTAATAAAAATTAAAAAAAAATAAACTTATTAGGTTTTTTTGTGTATGGGTGTTGTGGGGTGGAGGTGGCGTATGTCCTTTATGTCCTATGAAAACTTTGCCAATCCAAGATCACAAATATGTTTTTTCCTGCCTTCTTAAAAATGTAGTTTCATATTTTACATTTTGGTATCTTTTCTGTGCGTGTGTGTATGTATTTGTGTGCACCTTAATTTATGGTGTATGATAGTAATTGAGGTTATTCTCTTGACTTATTAGTATACAGTTGGTCTATTGTCATTTGTTAACTACCATTTTTCCATTGAGATTTCTGTTTATCATGAACAATTCCTTGTTCCTTTTATTTGACAGGCTCTGCCAGACCATGAGGATGAGATCCCAGAGACAGTGCGGACTGTACAGCTCATTAAAGATCTGGCTAGGGAGATTCGTCTGGTGGAAGTAAGAAGCCTGGGAGCAAGGGAAGTGTTTAGGAAGGGCTCAAGATTTAAGTGGAAGTTCAGGCTTCTTTCTTCGGCACGAAAACAGAGTGGGAAGGTTGAGGAGACTTCATGAAAGAGCTTGTTCATTCATTCAAATTATGTATGTTAAATATGTACATATCAGGCTCATTATGTTGGATACATGAATAATATGATATCTTGGAACAGGGAGGCAGTTTACAGGGACAGAACACATACCTTATGTGTATTAGGCCTCAGGTTTGATTCTTGGCACCTCATGGCTCCGTGAGCACTAGTGGTAGTAGAACTTGTGGTTCCCCAGCACCAACTGGCCTAAGTACCAAACCATCGGGCATGCTTTTTGGGGCAGAAATCACTAGATGTAGATCTTGCACTCCCTGATGCTGAGGAGGCCCCTAAAAATAATACAAGGCTTGCCCACATGGAACTCAAAATCAAGTCCAAGACTTTGGCATAGTTGCTTGAGCCTTAGCTTTCTTATCTTTAGAGTGGGGGTAATTATTTACTCTGGAGTTGTTGAAAGGGATTAAATAAGGCAATAGAGGTTAAGCAGTAATGTTGCACATTGGCCCACAGTAAAATCTAAAGGTGGATCATGTTGAGTTAGGGTGGCAGAGGTCATAGTAGTTATTATTGATAATATACTCAGTCACTGCATTATAGAAAATGACACTTCTCCCAAGTTGAAAATGATTGCAAAACCATGTTTTAATAGACATCATCTTTCATGAGGCAGAAAGGTATAGTGGTAAGAGATTCAGAAAAACTCAGTTTTTTATTTCCTGCTCTGTCACTTCAAAGCCTTTCAGAGGTTCGGTATCCAATGAGACTATCACCAGATTTTCAGAATTTTGTTAAGAGTTAATACATGTAGTTTCTCATGCAGTTCCTGGCAGAGTAAGTACTTAATAAAAGAGAGCCATTGTTGTTAATAGACTTTACACCAAAGATTGTTTCATAAGGGCTGGTGAAGTAGTAGAGGCACCAAAGGAGAACTAGACTTGAGGAAAAATAAAATTTCCTTTCTGTCAGAAGCTGTATAGTTCCATTTAATGCCTAGTATGCAGGAAATAAATCCTTTCTAAAGGGTGGTCAGAGTGAGCTACTGGGAATTTAGCCTTCCACTCTTACTGCTTATAGCATGTTTCTCTGTCTATACTGTATTGTGTTCCATTTCCTGCTTCATTTCCATTCACTCCTATCTTTCAAAATTCTTCGGAGTTTGGTTAAAAATCATACCTTTTCTCTGGCTCTTTCTACTTAAACCAGTTTGAATACACAGAACTTTGGACTGGTTAGAAGAGGACTGATGAGTTCTATTTGGTCCACTGGCTTTCAAATATTTCAAAGCAGTAGAATCTTTTATTTCCAAATGAACTTTTTTTGTTTCTTGGGGCACACCCAGTGATTCTCAGGTTTTAGTCTTAGGAGTTAGCTCTGGGCTAAAGATCACTCTTGCTCAGGGACCATATCAGGTGCCAGGGATTGAACTCAGGTCAGCTGTGTACAAGGCAAGCACTTTACCTACTTTACTATCTCTCCGGCACCTTCAAATGAGATTTTAATATAGAGCTCATTTTATACCACCAAGCAGTACAGATCATCTTTGAAGTAATGGGGAGTTTTAGTGCTGCATTCCTCTGCCTCCCATCTATGTCTTCAGTCCTTGAGAAGCTTGAAAGCGCAACAACATCCTTAGAAATCACCTTTCTAGTATGTTTCTTTTAATACCTAATACAGCAGAATAATTCCACAGTGGTCAGATGTCTTTCCCAAGGTCACAGACCCAGTTTGTAGCAAACCAGATCTTATCTCCTCCTTTCAGATTTTTCAGTCCTTAGAATTGGAATTGAACAATTTAATTCTTAGTTATTTTCTGTCTATGTCAACTACTCTTGAAGTCCTTTGTCACTAGTTTTGACAGTAGTGCAGGGCATTTCCTCTGCTTGTCTTCTTTATATGTCAATTGACTAGGTAAAGAAAATTCCACCCAGTAAATAAGTGATGACTTGTGCAAAAACTGGGTAGTGCACATCTGGAGCATATCACAACATATCTGTAAATCATAGCAGTTCTACTGCTAGTACCTAGTACCATGAAAAGACCTCTCTGCTTTTAGCATAGAAAGAAACTTTGAGTAAGCTCTAACTCCATTGTACTAATACTTTTATAGGATATTTTCCAACATAATGTTGGCAGAGCAAACAATATCTTTGAGCTGCAGAGGATCTTCCCATTTGGCTCTGTTCTCTTAACCAGGCCAGTCCATTCCACTTCAGTGTCCATATCCAGACTGTCATTATCCTCCAAAAATAATTCAAAGAAGAAAGTCCTGAAAAGGGCAAGGAGAGCTCAGCCTTTGGGCCTGCTGTCCAACTGAACTCTAATCTCATGGATACATACAATCATCAGGCACTGTGAATCAACATCACATCAGGCTCTTCCGAGAAAGTGAAGGTGGGTGCTGACCCATAGGTTCAGCCCAATTTTGGGGGCCCTTTGGAAGAGCAGGCATATTGTCCTTTATTTTGTTTTTATATTATTTTGTTTTTGATGGTGAGAGCTGTTTGTACCACACCCAGCTGTGCTCAGGGGTCACCACTGGTGGTGCTGAGGAAACCGTATATGGTTCCAGGAATTGAATTAGGGGAAGCCTGTGGAAGCCTGTGGAAGCCTTAACCCCCATGCTATCTCTTCAACCTGGAAGATCCTATTGGAAAAATAGGCTATGCTTTCCTGTTCTCATCTCCTTTAGGATCCCTGGTGTTTGGTTTCCAGTCCCACTCATTTAACAGGCATTTATTGAGACCTTGTCTATGCTGGGCACTGTTGCTTGTGAGAAAGATAGATATAAAAACAAATGTATGCAATAAAGTATTATGGATGTCACACCGAAGAGTGCATCACATTCAGTGTGACACTGAGATAAAACAGGATTATTCTATGTAGGGTCAGTAATCAGAAGCTCATCTCAGAAAACATTACACTTGAGTTAAATCTTGAAATGCTGGGATAGGACTGTCTTTTGACAACCAAGTGTCAAGTTTTAGCCTTGAACAGGTACTTGAGAAAACATGAGTCTTCTACCTTGCTCCAAGATTCTTGTGCCCTTCATATACATGTGAAGATACACATCACCTCATCTCTTTTCTGAAACATACTTTAGCTGATTGATAGGCTCCCTCTGAGCCAGCTTTGCATTCTCAACTTCTACCCGTGTGATAATTTTGAGTGGGGTTGGGGAGCAATGTAGCAGAAGACCTTGGTTCAGTATTGACAGTTATCTCAGCCTGTGAAACTGGGGGCATTTGGTGATACTTATTCACATGGGAGTTTCAGACAGGTGACAACTGAGCTTCCTCCTTCTGCAGTTCAACATCACTGGTACCTGCTTGAATAATTCCGAAGAAGACTCACCAGACTTGGACCTGGATGGGAGTGAGGGCCCGCTGACCCTATTGATGCATAATGGCAGGTGAGGTGGGGAAGTGCACAGAAATACTGGGTCAGTTTGCTACTAATAGGGCATGAATTAGGACATAGGAACTGAGTGGGGGAGGGAATGTACTTGAAAAATCTCCAGATATTAATATTTACTTCAGAGAACCCAATAGGGGATAATTGTTTATCTTAAGAAAAATATAAGTTCTAGAAATTTGAGTAAGTGGGTTAGAATTGCTTGCATGAACAAGAGTTAGTATACAGATTGGCTAATAAGTACATTAGATTTTTTTATATATCCCAGTCCCCTGAGCACTGCTTGGGAGTTTATATATATATATATATATATATATATATATATATAAATATATATATATATATAAATGACACCAAATTTGGGCTGGAGCGATAGCACAGCGGTAGGGCGTTTACCTTGCACGCACCCAACATGGCCGACCCAAGTTCGATTCCTCCGCCCCTCTCGGAGAGCCTAGCAAGCTACCGAGAGTATCTCGCCCACATGGCAGAGCCTGGCAAGCCACCCGTGATGTATTTGATATGCCAAACACAGTAACAACAAAATCTCCAATGGAGACGTTACTGGGCCCGCTCGAGCAAATCGACGAATAATGGGAGGGCCTTTACCTTTACACCAAATTTATAATCACAATTAACTCTGGAAAGTAGAATAAGGGAAAGGGGAAGCAGGGGGAAAATTTTACTTCAGTAATGTTGAATTTTATAAAAGTGAGCATGTATCATTTTTCCTCAAAATTATTGAGGCCCTAGGTTTGATCACTGTACAAAGAGAAAAAAGTAAAAGTTTTTCATATGAAAAGCATGGACTTAGAAATCAAATTTTGAGCTCTGACATGTATTCACTGTATGACTTTGGAATGTTAATTAACCTTTCTGAGCATCAGTGTCCTCGTTGTACCTGTATATAAGTAAAACTTACCTCATGATGGGTGGTTGGAAGACTAAGTGAGATAATAAATATAAGGAGCTTATCACAAGACCTGAAATATAATAATTACAGTGATTATAAAAATAATGATGAAATTAAAGGTGAAAGATGTTGATTTTGGTAATACTGATGTGGTAGGACCAGCTATTAGGTTATTAGAAACACTGAAACATCTTTAGGGAGACTGAAGAAGGCAAGAAAGATTATCATTTGGATAGTCAACACAGTACAGAGTAGTTAAGAGTCACGTAATGAGCATCAACAGTGTACGAATACATAGATACATTTTTAGTTTTTTTCAAAGAAAAGATTGTCTGTACATTCCAAGGTAAAATATAAGGATTCTTTTTTTAATGTAGGAGTCACAAATCACGAATAATGACTGTCATGTTATTCGTCGATTGCCTCGAGCAGGCCCCAGTAATGTCTCCTTCATCCTAGCCCTGAGATTATATCCAAGGCTCTTTAGGAGAATGAGACCCATCATTGTTACTGGTATTTGGCATATTGGGTATGCCACGGGGAGTTTGCCAGACTCTGCCGTGTGGGCAGGCTACATTTGGTAGCCTGCCAGTTTGTCCAAAGTAGGAATGAGATAATAAGATGTCATAATAAGATGTTGCGCAGCCGCAAATGCGGCCGCGCAGTTCTGGTAGATGGTTTTTATAGTCTCCGGGTCTTGCCCGTTGATGGGATTACACGGCGCCAGGGGGCCAGTTGGTGGGTGTGACCCCCGCCTACTGGAATTTGGAGGATCTGGGTGGAGGATGCCCAGCCCCAATCCGAGTAGGCTTGGAGATCTCGGCCCCGGAACCCACGTGACTTTGTCCCTCTGCCAGTACCTTCATGTGTGCGGAGAGTGGTGGTGGCTGGTCCTGGAGGTCTTTGGCTGCCGGAGCCCTGGTCGGGGTGGGAAGGAAAGCTCAACCCGCTCCCCTCCAAGGGGCCCCGGCGAGGGCAGCCAGGTGCGGGGGCAGGAGACTGCACTGTTCTCTTCCAGGAGCTGGTTTTTATAGTCTCTGGGTCTTGGCCGTTGATGGGATTATACGGCACCAGGGGGCCAGTTGGTGGGTGTAGGAGTATTGCTATTTATTTAGCCATTGATTAGGTTGATTGAATTGGGCATGAAATCCACCTTACTTTTTTTTTCCTTTTTATATATTTATTGAATCACTGTGAGAGCAGTTACAAAGCTTTCGGGTTTAAGTCTCGGTCATATAATGATGAAACACCTGTCCCTTCACCAGTGTCCATTTTCCACCACCAAAAACCCCAGTATACCCCCCATCCTACACCCTCCCCCTACCTGTGGGGCAGATGACTTCCACATTACTCTCTCTCTCTGCTTTGATCACATTCAATATTTTGACACCAGTCCCACCATTATTATTTGGGATTTTACCCCAACACTAAGATCTGCCAAAAAGGCAACTGTAGACCATTTGTTTTCTATTGCTGATTATGAATAACATATGTGGCTGCAGTTGTGGCTGAGCAATTTTGGAATTCCGAAATTTTAACAATTAAATCTGGAGGGATTTCTGCCAAAACCTTCTGGGTTCCGAGATTTGTTCCTGAGTCTCTGGGATCATGTCTGTTAAACAGTTTGATCAGGAACCAGAAAGGTCTTGCTTCCAATTATATAGCTGAGCCAGAGGTAGTTTGTGGGTATGTCTCCCACATACCTAACTTTTGGCCATTTACTTTCTTGGTAAACTTGGCCCCAAGTTGCTGGGGTCTGGCCAAAAGCACAGCAGCAATTTTGGGGTATCTAGAAGTCTGAAGGCACCATCAGGCTGCTGATGCACTCGCCTCACAGGTACAGATTGACCTGCTGGTGGCACCAGACGCTAGAAATATAAGGATTCTTGAGAACACAGTAAGTCCTTTTTATCTTCTCCACTAGTTTTTAGTGTGATGGTTTTGTTAACTCCTACAACTTTCAGAGGCTGCTAATAAGTGAACATAGAGAATTGAGGTGCAATATTTATAGGTGCCGGAGACATAGTACAGGGGATAGGGTGTTTGCTGTGCACACACATAACTGCCACATAATACAAAGATCAAACTATATATGGGTTCCCGAGTTCACCAAGATTGATTCCTGAGCACAGAGCCAGGAATAAGCCCTGAGTACTGCCATATGTTGTCCAAAAACAAAAAAAATGTGTAGTGTTTACAGAATGTATCGCATGTTTCAACTTTTCTTCAAAATAATACATTGTTATGCAGGGACTGAGGTGTGATTAAATTAATTTGTCTGTGGATTCATAATTGGTAAAACTTAGTAGGTGTTAGATACATGGAAGCTCATTATACTTACATATTTTGATATTTGATAGATGTTTTTTCCTAATTAGAAGTTAACAAAACATCAGATTATAAACAGCTACCATTTATTGAACTCTACCAGACTCTTAGCTTTTTCATTGTATAGTTCTCAGAACAACTCTAAAGGTAACTATTTTTATCCCCATTTTACTAGTGTGAATTCTGAGGCCCAGAGAATGTAGTTACCAGATCATCTAATTTACACTGGCCATGTCTGAGCCTCAGCATTAGCTCATTTAATCCTATAAACAACCCTATGAATTAGGAAAAATTTAATTTAATGGCAACTTATTCACTATAAGCCAGTTAACTCAGTGGCTGCTGAATCTATTAAGTATACTGTTATAAAATTTTTTTTCTTTTCTTTTGTTGTTGTTTTGGTGCACTCCTGCTGTGCTCTGCACTCAGGGATCATTCCTGGCAGGCTTGGGGGACTTTATGGGGTGCCAGGGATTGAACCAGGGTCAGTCCTGAACAAGAGAAGCATTCTATTCATTATACTATTGCTCTTTTCCCCCCCTCCCCAGTCTTAGTACTTTTATTTGCTTGTTTCTGTTTGTCTGGGGCCATAATTGGCAGTGCTCTTGGGGATACTGGGGATTGAACCTGGGTCTGCTGCATACAAGGCAAGCACCCTACCCACTGTACTATCTCTCTGCCCACCAAAAACCTTATTTTTACCTATATTTATTTTAGCGTTTGTATTGATTAATATTGTTTTCCATATATTAAGTTTTATATGTATATATATATTTCCATATATTACTTAAGCACTCTGGAACAACATGTTGCAACCCTCGATCTGGAAGTCCACCAGACATGACTTCGCATACAATTGAGATAAACTCTCATGTCCAACTGTTGTGAGTAAATGGCCTACTTGGATGCTGGGACAGATGCCTGGGGTCTGAAATGGGTATTCACTTCCCTCTGGAAGCACAGATACTGCTCCCCTCCAACTCTCCCCCCCTAGGAGAATTTATCTTCATACCCTTTCAATCATCCCTTTCAACCTCCCTACCTATTTCCTTGAAACTTCTCACCTCCTTAGGATTGGGAAACTAGGTGAAGGATGGTGAAAATTAACCATTTACAGGGAGGTGAGGGGAAACTTTCAGGGAGGCAGTGTACTAACACTGACCAGTGCCAGACATCATCAGCATGTTGAGGGATGTCAGGCATCCTCTGCCCTGCACCCATGTGGAGGAGCTGTCATGGAGCAAGCTGTTGTCCTGGCAGCTGGAAGCACCAACTGAAATAAGATACAGGTTCTATTTGGGGATCTGGTGCCTCTTTCATCATCCCACCACCACCTGTTCCAGGCTCTACCTGCCATTACTTGGTTCATTTACAAAGTCGTTAACTAGTATCTCCACCCACTCCTTTCTGTCCCTCCATCCATCCCAGAATTCCTGCCAGAACATATGATTGACCTGGTCATTCCTCAAGTTCTGGCAGGGCTGCTTGACACCTCCCCTGGTCTCTGGTCCCTACTACCTGTTGGATAGTCCTGAGGGAGGCCCACATTCCTCTGTCATGAGAACAGACTCCGTTGTCCTATAACTGGATCTGTTCCCCATGTGACCCCATGATGGCCACTGTTTTGCTGCTGCTTCTCCCCTCCTCTCCTTTTGGGGGCTCATCCTCTGTCTCTGGCACATGGAGCATGCTCATAGTCTGCCAAGCCCAGTCTCTAAGTAGTCATTCCCATCTTAAACAGAGCCTCTGTGGACTCCCTTCATCAGCCCTGTCTCAGTTTCCTCCTCTGTGAGGTAATTATTTCGGAACATGGCTTCTCCCATCATGAGAGTAGAGTCAGACCATTTCAGCTTCTACTTTTGAGCTCCACCCAGCAGGACAACCCACTGTTTTCAGATAAAGGAAAGCAGAGAGGTGGGTTAAGGGAAGAAGAAACTCAGGTATACAGGTCCATGTGTCTTTCGCCAGTCTTTTTTAGCTTTGTACTATAATCTATATCCAAATCTCTGTTCCCTGAGCATCCTTGTGATGGGTGGGAAGACAATAGGAGTGTGTAAGCTGGATAAGAGCTACTGGCATGGAGAATAATGTACTATTTTTGACTTGTGGACTGAAACCGGCATTGGTGGGCACATGGATGTTTTCTAGTGTTCTTAACCGCTGATCCTTCCACCTATACAGGATCGACCCTAAATGTACTCTGAAAGGAATAGTGATGGAGAATTTTTTTTCTGGTTCCTTGTTGCACTTCTATTTTTACTGTTCATCTTCATGGTCACTGTCACTATGACAATGTTGTTTAAAAGACGTATTGAGGGGACTGGACAGTTGCAGGAAGGATTACAGAAGGCACCTGCAGGAACTAAGACAACGCCTAAAATTGGTGCATATGGTGCAGCCAGGTGCCTAATGTTAGGGAGTTGGACACTGACTTCTAGGCCTGTGTGCAGGAGCTTCTCTTCACCCCTAGCATCATTTCTCACCAGTTGTCTACATCAGCCACCCCTGACTATCAAGCAGAATGTTTATTTCCACAACCAGTGACACTAGAAACTCAAGGAACAGTGACAGTGTCTCAGGATCTGGGGGCTAAGTATATCTGCTTGGAAAATTTAATTAAAGTCACATGTTTATGTTGTGTGGTCTTTTTTGTGGCTTTCATTCTCTGTTTATTGTGTTGCCCTGTTTGGTACGTAGAAACTTTGCTGTCCTGTTTCAACCACAGGGCTGTAGCGATAACACAGTGGGTAGGGTATTTGCCTTGCACGCAGTGGACTTGGGATCGATTCCTCTGTCCCTCTCGGAGTGCCTGGCAAACTACTGAGAGTATCCCGCCCGCACAGCAGAGCCTGGCAAGCTCTCCGTGGCATATTCGATATCCTAAAAATAGTAACAAGTCTTACAATGGAGACGTTACTGGCACCAGCTCGAGCAAATTGATGAACAACGGGAAGACAGCTCTATATTACTTAAGTTACTTTTCATTTTTTCTGCTTCCTTTTACATTTTAAAAGCTTATTTGAGGTATATTTAACATATACAATTAACCATTTTTTCTTTTTTATTATTGAATCCCAGTGTGAATTTCAGAATGACAAAGTTATTCATGTTTTAGTTTCAGTCATATAATGTCTAACACCAGTGCCTCCACCACTGTCCCCAGTTCCCCTCCCTTTCCCCCATCCTGCCTCTGTTTCAGTCTCTTATGCCTAATTTCAACTTTTTGTCTCCTTCAGAGAGACTACTTCCCTCCACCAATGTCATATTGTACCCTTTCCTGACTTATTCCTTCATCCCCAGTGGCAAGCTTCCTACTGTAAATCAGTTCTCTTCCTCATTGTTTTAGCTGGTTTTTAGTATATAATTAAATAATGTAATAATTTAAAGAATGTATTCTTTAAATATGCTTTTCGACAATCCAACTGTAGAAAAATTTGGTCACCCCCAAAAGATGTTCTTAATCACTTACATTTAGTCTTTGTTCTCATCCCCAAACACCTCCTAATTTACTTTCTCTCTCTATAGATTTATCTTTTCTAGACACTTCATGTGAATGAAATAACACAATATTTAATCTTTTGTATCTGGCTTCTTTCACTTACATGTTTTTGAGGTTTATCTGTGATGTAGTATTATTACTTGCTTCCTTTTTATTGTTGAGTATTAGATATACCATATCTGTCCATTCAGTGAGTGATGCTATGACTATTTGTGTGTAAATTTTTGTGTAAATATTTATTTTTATTTCTCAGAAGTAAAATTTTGGGTCATGTTTAGTTTTAAAAAACTTCCAAAATTTATTCCAAATCTCTTTACCATTTTACATTTTCACCAACAGGTAAAAATTTCTCCATGTACTATTAATACTTGTTACTGCCTGTTTCTTAGATTTTAGTAAAGTGATATTTCATTGTGGTTTTATTTTGTATTTCCTTAGTGATATTGCATATCAGTAATGAATATTTATCATTTGTTGTTTTTACATTTTATTGTGGTTGATTTAACATAGTTACAATAGGGTCAGTATTTATGCTTTTGGTATATAGTTACTGCACCTCCATCATAGCCCAAGTACCAGTTATCCTCTACCCATGTCCCTTTGTTTCTTCTATTTTTAAATAAATTTGTATTCATTATTACATTTTTACAATAGAAGCAATGTAATTGTTAGATACTTGAAGTGCAGCTACAACATGCCTACCACTTTTGACCATCTTTAGAGAAATACTTATTTAGGTCTTGTTCATTTTTAATTGATACTTATTTTATTGTTGAGTCCTAAGAGTTTTATCTTAAAATGTTGAATACAAATCCTTTACCAGATAAAAGTGATTTTTCCCCAGTCTGTGACTTGTTCTTTCATTTTCTCAATGATGCTTTTGAATCACAAAAGTTTTTAATTTAACCTAAACTCATGTTCCAAAGAAAAGAATGAGTTTTCTTCTTTCCTTGCTGAGGTGGTGGGGGGAGGGGGATGGAGATGGAGGATGGGGGAAGGGAGATACATCCATTAATACGTAAGGGTTTGCTCTTTTTACTCTGCACTCAGGAATCACTCCTGGCAGGCTCTGGAGACTATATGGGATGTCAGGAGTTGAACCTGGGTTGGCTGTCTCCAAGAATGTGTCTTCTTATATAAGTTGTATAGTTTTACCTTTTCCATTTATATCAAATTTTATTTTTTTAATCAAATTTTAATACTACCTTAACTGCAGTAACTTTATAGTAAAATTGCCCAGTATAAAGTCTCTAACTTTTGTTTTTCAAAATGATTTTGGCCATGTTGAGTTCTTTGTATATGCATTTTAATATCAACTTGCTAATTTAATTTGTGGGGGTTGGGGTCAGGATCACTCCTGGCAATGCTCAGGGGACCATATGGGATACTCAGCATTGAACAACCATGCGTGCAAGGCAAGAGCACTAGCCTCTGTACTATTTCTCTGGCCCTCTACCTGCTGATTTCAACCAAAGGAAGCTACATGGATTTTCATAAGGATTGCATCGAATCTATAGATCAATTCTTAGTAATACTGAATGTGATTGTTTTTATATTCTCTTTTTCCTCTCAAGTACCAAGAGGATGAAGAGTTTATCCAAGTCTAGGCGAGCAAAGATTGCTAAGAAGGCAGACAAAACCAGGCTGATAGCAGAAAAAGCACTGGAGGATGAGTTTGACTTGGATTCAGATGATGACTTGCAGATTGATGAGAGACTGGGAAAGGAGAAGGCAGCTCTGATAATAAGACCAAGTATGTACCTGTTTTCTTCCCCTGTCCTTTTCATAGCTGTTTTTAGTCCCCTTGTCAGAGTCAAATCTTTAAGCCTGAGCTTATTGGAATTCTGATTTCCCACCTCTGTAGTCCTCTATGTTCTAGGGGTTTATTTGTAAGCTAAATCCTAACCTCCCTAAAGTAGCTGTGGTCAGTAATTTCAGGAAAATAAGTCATTGTAACTTCCTTGGGCTATTGACTCATATAGTAATATTAACTTTATGGTAAGTGCATTTCATTGTTTTACAGAATTTCCCCGAAAATTGCCCCGTGCAAAACCTTGCTCTGACCCTAATCGAATTCGTGAACCTGGAGAAGTGGAGTTTGACATTGAGGTAGGAGCCTAATCTGTGGGTTTAGTCTTCTGCTTGTTTTAATCACAGTGATAAAGCACAGATTGTTTTTCTAGTTGGTAGGAGAAAAAAATCCTATCTATTTATTATCTAAAATATTCATTAAGTGAAAGATTGCCTCTATGAATACAAATGGAATATTATTTTGTAAATTAAATATTTACAAAATCTTTCATTACAGAGTATAATAAAAGCTAGTGATAAGTAGCACAAATAGTATCCAATTTGGAATATCTAATTATAATCTTAAATTATTTAACTTCTGAGCATTTGTTTCCTTATCTGTAAAAATGGGAGGTAGAATAACAACCTCACAAAGATCCTATGGAGATTAAAGTGAAAGAATATATATACTGGTTAGTACTTGGTGCTCAGAAGATAGGAATATCAGGAGGGAGATTGTTGATGCTTTATTGGGACCTTAGCAGAACAACCCTGACCAGCTGAGGTGATACCCTCTTTCCCCAACAGGAAGACTATACAACAGATGAGGACATGGGTGAAGGGGTCGAAGGCAAGCTTGGGAATGGGAGTGGAGCTGGTGGAATTCTTGATCTTCTCAAGGCCAGCAAGCAGGTGGGAGGACCTGACTATGCTGCCCTTGCGTGAGTATTGTCTTTGAACTTCGCTTTTCAGGCAATCACAGTTACTCTTTTCCTGCCCCAGTGGGATAGGTCAGCCAATCAGCAGATTTTTATCAAGTTATTTAAAGGGACAAATAATTAGCTAGGTCATTTGGCTGAAAGAAAAAAATAGACTTAAAATCTGCCCTAAGGGACTTATGATCTGACAGAGGATATATAGACATCAAGGGGATATTTTTTTTGAAATTTAAAGGAAGAGGCATAAAGGAGAACCAGCACTTTTTGAGCAGTGTTTTTAAAAAGGGAAGAATGCGGCATGGTTTGTCATCTTACCTGCCATTTATGGAGCTATTTGAAGAAAGAAACACTGGCTATTTCTTTTTATTTGTTTTTTTTTTTGGCCACACTCAGCTGTGCTCAGGGCTTACTACTGTCTCTGTATTCAGGGATCACTCCTAAAGGGACTTGAGGGACAATATGGGGTGACAGGAATCAAACTGGGGCCAGCTCGTGCAAGGCAAGTGCTTTGCCCACTGGATTTTTTATGAAAATGATCTTTGATACTAGTTTGATTTCTTGTTTTTCACCTGGGGTAGTTTTCTCCTTCCCACACTGGTGTTCACAACTGTTTTCTTTTATTCTTGATTATTCTGATTACTCATGTCTTCTGACAACTAGAGAAACTCCTACAACATTTCTCCTCTGTACCTTGCAGCGAGGCCCCTGCCTCTCCGAGCACTCAGGAGGCCATCCAGGGCATGCTGTGCATGGCCAATTTGCAATCCTCATCATCATCACCAGCTACATCCAGCCTGCAGGCCTGGTGGACCGGGGGGCAAGACCGAAACAGTGGAAGCTCCAGCAGTGGGCTGGGCACAGTGTCTAACAGTCCTGCTTCCCAGCGCACCCCAGGGAAGCGGCCAATCAAGCGGCCAGCATATTGGAGAACCGAAAGCGAGGAAGAGGAAGAAAATGCCAGTCTGGATGAACAGGACAGCTTGGGAGCATGCTTCAAGGACGCAGAGTATAGTAAGGGCAGCAATTAGATCCTGGCCAAAATGGTTTCCCCAGGCATAACCCCAATCCAGGATAGCCAGTAGTGATGAAATGAATGCCTGATCTTAAGCCTAAATTTAGCTTCTCATATCCATATTTTCTTAATCTTTAAAATGTGGGTATCTCAGACATTGATGTAAGAATTAGAGATGATTCTTTTATATAGAGCCCCATTGCCTTGCTCATGGGGATCTCATTGAGCCTTTTAAATTTTTTGTTTTGAGGTCACACCTGGTGATGCTCAGGTACTACTCCTGGCTCTGTGCTCAGATGTTGTTCCCAGGGGAGACTATGTGGTGGTGGAGATAAAATTAAGATTTCTGTAATGCAGAGCATGCACATTAGCCTCGAGCTATCTTCAGCCCCTCAGTGGACTTTTTACGTTTAGGACATGATTTCTTTTTTAAAAGCTCAGATTTACTGAATATGTATTGATACTGCAATATAAAAAATACTTTATGATTGGTACAGCTAACTTTAAAGTGTGTTTTGTTTTTATTTTTTAAAAGAAATCAATGCTTATTGACCAAAATTAGTACCAAAACAGAAAAAATGAAAATTTTTTAACTCTTTCCCCTTCTAGAAAAGTTAATTTACTCAAAGATAGCCTTTGTTTTCAATTTGATAACTGCTTATTATTCATTTTCTTGTGTTTATAGCTGCATAACCACAATATATCTATACAAATAGAAGTATCATTTAGCTTACTATGTATATTTTAAATTCATAATAGAAGCAATTCTACCTGCTACTTACTAGTATGTAGCATTGGTGTATCATGGCATATTTATTCATTCTCTACTGATTAAGACTTAAGTTGTAGCTGATTTTTTAAGTATTTATGACAGTGTTATAATGAAACTTGTAATAAACTACCCTTATCCAAATGCCAGTTATCATTTCTCTGGGGTAGTTAGGTCTTCTGGATTAAGGGTATATACAAAGTAAATATTAACAGATAGTGCCAAATTACCTTCCCAAATGTTTTGCCAGCATATGAGCAGTGCATGAAAGTTCCTCTTTCCTCGTTACAGCAATGGATATATTATCAGCTTTTTAAATTTTTGCCAATCCCTCCATTTGATTTATATGTCTGTTGCCTTTTTACTCCTTTTCTCTGAATCATCTATTCAGACTTTCATCCATTTTCTGTTAGGATAAATATATTTTATCCTTACTGATTTATAGTTCTATGCATATTCTAGATATGTTAAAGTATTCTTTCATGTATTCTGGAAATTTTAAAAAATATTTTTTGTCTGTCATTTATATTTTGATTTTATTTATGACATATTTTAACACCTGGATGCGATTTTTTTTTATTTTAGGGCCACATCCAGTGGTGCTTATGGGTTACTCCTAACTCTGTTTTCAGAGATCATTTCTGGCAGTGCTGGGGATCCAACCCAGGTTGGGTGATTGCATGGCAAGCGCTCTACCTGTTATACTATTTCTCTGGTCCCACATTTTTAAATATATTTTTTGGTTTTGGGGCCACACCCAGCTGTTCTCAGGATTTACTCCTGTCTTTGCATTCAGGAATCACTCTGGGCAGGTTCTGGAGACCATTTTGGGTGCCAGGGATTGAACCACGTCAACTGAGTGCCCAGCTACTGTATTGTCTCTCTGGCCCAAATTTTTTAGGAGCTATTTTATTTTCCCCTTTTCCTTTCCCATTCTTGTGTTGTTACAGTGACCAGGGGTTATGCTCACTTGGTTGTGGTGTCTGTGTACTTGATTGTATTGCTCACAGCGTGTTGTACACTTAATCGAAGTGCTCACTAGGGTCACACATTATAGTTTTGATGGTTGTACACAGTTGGTTTTGGTATGTCAGAGATTGTAAATTTTTGTTGTGGTGCTGTCATTACAAACAGCAATGCTATAAGGTTCACTCTTGGCATGTGGTGAGGTACCAGGGAGATTAAACTTGTGACCTTTAGTGCTGGTGCTATACCACTGAGACACAAGCCACCCACAGATTTCACTTTTTGTATAGTCTTCTTCATCAACTTTGTAAATTTTTTTTTATGTTTTGAATAAGACATGTTTTTACCTAAAACTTGTATAGAAGTTAAAAATTTTACTTCTTTTTCTGTAATTAAATTTTGTAAATTATGAAAGCTAGAATCTGTTTTTTTTCCATGTGGATAATCATTTGCCCAACATCACTTTATTGACTAGTTCATTATTATCCCCCAATTTGAATGTCCACTTTTTCTATAACACATGTAGATTTTTATTTTTTCTTTATTTTTATTTATTTTTTTGCTTTTTGGGTCACACCTGGTGATGCACAGGGGTCACTTCTGGCTTTGCCCTCAGGAATTACTTCTGGTGGTGCTCGGGGGACCATATGGGATGCTGGGAATTGAACCCAGGTCGGCCTTGTGCAAGGCAAGCGCCCTACCCCCTGTACTATCACTCCAGCCCCCAGATTTATTTTTTTATTCTAATCACAGTCCTGTTACATAATAGCTAAGTGATCTTGGATAAGCTAGTTCACCTTTCTACTTCTCTTGAGAATAAATTATACCTCATAAACCAAAAATTGAATTGTATATTATACATACAGAACTTAGAACATTGACAAGCAAATGGTAGGCATTGTTAGATTATTTCTTTGGTTTGGGGGCTGTACCCAGGAGTGTTCATGGTTTATTCGTGGGATTGTGCTCAGGGATCACTCCTGGCAGGACTCAGGGGACCATATGGGATATCAGGAATCAAACGGACGTCAGCTATGTGCAAGGCATACAACCTGCCCACTTTATTATCTCTCTGCCCCCTAGATATTATTCATATTATTCTCTTCTATAAAGTCAGTTTGTCAAGTCCTGTGGCAGTTTGGCCACAAGAAGAGCACAGATGAATTCAGCAGATCCATTATCTTGAATAATCTGTGATTTGTGTTAGAGCCATGCTAAGTTTTTCTGTAAACCAATCTTATCTTTAGCAGGCAGTCATACTGACGTATATAACCAAGACATCCAGAATTGGTTGTAACTAGTACCCTTTGAACAAAAAACTCACTCCCTCATCTCCCCCTTGATTTTTCCAGCAACACTGGAAAGGTAGTTTAACAATGAGATCCTGATCTCCTAGTTCTTCCAGAATTCCTAGGCCATTATTGAGCTTTTTTGAAATTAAGTTTCTGTTAGAAGCAGTTTGTCAGATTGTATATAAAATTTTATTAGAATGTTTTCTTGACATGACATTTGTAGATTAATTTATGGAGACTTACCATCTTCCAGCAGAGGATTTTCAGCTATAAAGGGATAAGATGTATACATTCCTGAATTTGTAGACGTCCTTATATTTGTACACATATACAAAATAAGTCCTAGCAGAAAAAAGTGGGTTAGAGGCACAGTCTGAAGAAGCTCTGACTTTGAGGCCAAATTGCTGACCCATATATGACAATCCTAATAATAATCCTTGCTCAGTTAGAGCCATTTGGCATTAATAATCAGCATCCATCCAGCCCATGCGTTTTACCCCAGGGTCCAACTTTTTCCTTTCAGATGTAAATTCTTGAGATCATTTTCTTAAAATAGATGTCTAGTCTTTAGCACCCTTTTTAATTTGTTTAAACAAAGTGGGCAGTGTCTTTCCAGTATCTTTATCTCCTCTCTCAGTCATCTTCTTCTTCCCCCCTAGAGCTTTTTTAATGGAAAATAAGCTCTCGTATTTATAACTGTAGATTTTTGTAGTTTTAATAAAGCATTTGAGTAGTAATGATGATTGGAGGCAGGTATTCTGGCTTTAGAGATAACTCTATTAATGTTTCTCCACTCAAAACAAGACTATGTAGGACACTGGTAGACTACTTTCATAAAATTCAGGGAAGTTTCTATATCAGTTCTGCTATGCTATCTCTTTACCCCCTGTCTCTAGTTTGAAAGGGGTTTGTTTCAAAATCAAAAGTGGAATTGGGTTTAATCAAATAGTTTTCAATGTCTTTTGACAATAATACGTGGTTTTTCTCTGACTGGTGGTTTATATGCATAGAATTACTAATTTTGCATCCTTTGGAAGTAGCGGTAGTTTTGGAGCAATAGCACAGCGAGTAGAGCATTTGCCTTGCATGTGGCCAACCCAGTCGACTCGAGTTTGATTCCTCCGCCCCTCTCGGAGAGCCTGGCATGCTACCGAGAGTATCTCGCCCGCACGGCAAAGTCTGGCAAGCTACCCATGACGTATTCGATATGCCAAACACAGTAACAGCAAGTCTCACAATGGAGACGTTACTAGGCCTGCTTGAACAAATCGGTGAACAATGGGAGGACAGTGCTACAGTGCTACATGATTCTTAATATAGTGTATTTTTTAAAAAATCAAAACAATAATACATCCATTTTTTGCTATTCCTCTCTAACATATGGTTGTTTACTGTTTTTTTAATTTCTATTGCTTTTATTTTACTCTTTAATATTCTTTGTATTGTATCTCAAGTTGAAAGCCCTGCTTATTTATTTTCAGTATCTTCCCTTTTGATGGTTTGAAATTTTTTATTTTTAAATTTCACATTAAGTAAAATTAGGTTTGTTGATATACACGTTTCTGTTCTTTATTGTTTTTAGTTGTGGGGGGCTACTTCAAATGCTGTTCAGGATCCCAACAGTACTTGGGGGTCCCTAGGGCCATACCCATCCATGCTTGGTATGGCCTTGTTATGATAGATTGAACCCAGAGCCTAGAACATGCAAGGTGTGTGCTCTATCACTTGGGCCACAGCTTCTATTCTTTAACTGACATCAGGAGTACAATGAAGATTCAGAACAGTTTCATTACCCTTAAACTTCCTCATAAAGACATGACGTCCATCTGTCCCTAACTCCTGGCAACCAGTGATTTGTTCATCATTGTGGTTTTGCCTCTGCCAGAATGTCATATTAATAAAAGTGTAGTATATTTGAGATTGCCGTTCTTTACGCAGCATAATGCCTTTAAAACTCATCCATTTTATTGCA